TCCTAGGACGGACGCACGATGATGCAACCAGATGGGTTCCGTGTGGACGAAAACCGAGTGAAGAAGTTCCGGAGGCTGTGAGCGAAATGCTTCGGGTTTAAGGTTGATATAGATCACATTGGGGCGTGGATGCTTCTGGTCTCCAGACCTCCATGACAGGCACAAAAGGACAAAACGAATTGATGTCGAGAAAACTTAGGCTCTCCATCCCTTTCATTAAGACCAATGACGATCGAAATCGGAGTGCGCCGTGGTTGAAAGCGCAAGGGATCAGACCATTTATCATTGGGGAGTGGAGGCGTGGGGAACCGAAAACTCTCCTGGGCCTTAGATCGTGGACTAACAAATTTGGCCGCAACGCGACATTCACGCGATTCAGGGCCTCTGTCCTCCCCGTGTGATACAATCCGGAGTACGCCTATGGACAAGGTTCAAATGTGATCCGTCAAGAGATTCAGGGAATATGATGTAAGTGCCGGTGAGACGGCAAATTCGCTTTCTGGTCGTTGCAAGGCGAAATGGACGTTTCTGGAAGCATCGAGCAACGGCCACGTCCAGGGGTTCGATCATTGTATCATTTTTGGTTACACAATGGCGTGAGTGGATTGGGCAGTGCGTAAAATCCAGGGTGTTTGTTTCCCACCTAGCAAGAGTCGATAGCGATGGTCCGACCATGATCCGAATAATTACTGTAATATGGCTATGAAAATTGGTTCGGATGACGACTAATTAAAATAGATGAAGCCGGCCAATGCCCCGATGCAGATTCGGGCCTTACGGTAGAGGCGCGACCGGCGTTCATTTGTTGCTATTCCCAAGTTGATTGCTTCCTCCGAGGCGTTCAACTCAAGGAACCTTCAAGTTCAACCTGCATGCTCCGCGGTCGAGACGGAGTACCTAGTTAGAGTTAAACTGATTAAACCCACTCTGCATGAGCAAGTGATTGGTTTGTCTAAGCTGCGTACTCGTACACCGCAATCCGATGTGACAAACGGTTACAGGGGAAGAAAGGGGGACCCAGAGGGGAGAGAGGTGGATGGGGGGGGGGGGGGGGGGGTGAAGCATTATCAACAGCACGCTAAGAAGTGGAACTGAATTGAAGATTAATCTGGGAGGGCTGGAACTGGAAGCATTGAAAGGAGGTTGGCAAATAATCGGGGCGTAACGAACGCGGATTGGCCCCCTTTTCCAGGGCCATCCCATCCACCTCTTTGGTGGGATTTCTTGATTTTATTTTTCCTTTTTTCTTTTCTTTCCACCTTTCATGTCACTATTGAATGTGATGGTCTTGGTCAGCGCTGAAGATCTTTGGTCATACGGAGGATTCTGTACCACTTCAACGGCATGAAAGTGGGCAATTCTTCTTGCATCTCTTGAGGATGGGTATTTACTATTCATTTACGGAGTACTCTGTAAGGTGCTGTAGTCCAGACTGGCGGGTCCCCTATGGAGCAAATTAATGAAATCAAATGAGATGAATTGGAATCAATCAATAGGACGATGAAATAAAGCAACCGCCACGCGGATGCACGGACTACTGCCACGCACCCTTAGTCAGGGAACCCCTTAACGCAATTCCTGACCGAGCGGGCCACGCTGTATTCTACATAAATTATCACTTTTTTATACTCGAATATCTCAACAACCATGAGACCATATAAGTTAAAATTAAGTACATATACTAAAAGGATATATATAAAGTATATATGAAAATTTGAACTACTTTTATCGACTACTTAGATCAGTAAAATATATTACACGAGTATTGTTTGTAATTTAAAAAAAATCCTAGATTATAGAGCCATTATTAATCTGTAGATTTTGAAAAGACGTATACAGAATATGAAAATAGTGGTTACTTTATTTTACTTTCAAGTATATTACAATATTCTTTGGTTGTTGAGATATTTGAGTATAAAAAAGTAGTAGTTTATATAGAATACAGCGTGGCCCGCTCGGTAGGGGTGGCCCGCTCGGTCAGGAATTACGTTAACTAATAACTATTCTCCCATAATGAGAATGTGATGGATTGGATTGTTCGCGGTCTGCAGTACGGAATACTCAGTTCATCTCTTTCCCCCTCTTTCTCTCGATCCGATAACTACAGACAGATACTCGTACTCATTTTGAATTTCTGCCGGCTGCTCCTGCCTGTACGGTGTACGCAGACGGTGTACTCAGTAAGGTCTCTCTCTCTCAGTCTCCCCCCTTAATCATCATTCCATCCGCAATACCAACACCCCCCTTTCCCCTCTCTTGCTCCACTCCCGATTTTCCCTTCTGTCTTCTCCCCCCCCGTTTGGTCTGTTGTGTTTCGGAGCAGTTCTTGTTAACCCGCTTTTTCTTCCTCCCCTAGACGCTTTTGGGTAAAGAAGAAGAACCAGCTCCGGGATTCTAGTTTCGACAGACAGAAGAATAATAACGAAAAAGAAAAAGAAAACAAAGAAAAAAGGAAAGCGACAGGTGCAGCTTGCCGACTCGCCTTCAATTCCCGCCCGCCTGCAAAAGTTCCACGAACCCCCCCTGATCCTCCCACCACCGACTCTCTCCTTCCCTTCCCCCCCGTCCGCTTCTTTAAGCTTGGCCTAAGTCGCTAAGTTGACCCGCCTTTGCTGTGGATTTTCGCCCTTTAGTTAGGCGCCTTTTTCCTCTTAATATTTTTTTTCTTTTTGTTTTCGCGCGAAACTCCCGAGGACCTGGGCCCCGACCTTTCGACCCTACCGCAAAAGAAATTTGTGCTTTGCTTGCTTGCTTGCTACTCCGTACTACTTGGTTATCTGCCTGACTACTGCTCTCTCGACCCGCTGTCATCTTTTTTGTGTTCTCTCGTTGGGATCGCTTCCGATCACCGTTTCTTATTTCCCTTTTTCCTTTCAAACTGAACGTGTCTCAGGATCAGAGTCCGTCGTTATGGCTTCAAAGGTAAGCCCGTCACCTCTCTTACGCCTCGTTTTCCCGTCCTCGGTCATCCCCTTTCCCTTACTGCAATCCCGCCCTTCCGGACATTTCCAATCCATCCCCTCGTCCTTGAATGAACCTTATTTATCACGCGAATCGACGAGATTCAATTAGCTTACGGTCGGATGATGTCTTTAGTTTCTAAGAGAATATAAGCTGGTGGTCGTTGGAGGTGGTGGTGTCGGAAAGTCTTGCTTGACGATTCAATTAATCCAGAGTCACTTCGTGGATGAATATGACCCGACAATCGAAGGTGGGCGCTACCGACCTGGCACTCTCGTGCTCTTGAGATCCCCCGGCTTATTTGGAACCCCCGTGTTTCGCAAACAGATTCCTACCGCAAGCAGTGTGTCATCGACGATGAGGTCGCTTTGTTGGACGTGTTGGATACGGCCGGACAGGAAGAATACTCAGCAATGCGTGAACAATACATGCGAACCGGAGAAGGTTTCCTTTTGGTCTACTCGATAACATCCCGCCAATCCTTCGAAGAAATCATGACCTTCCAGCAACAAATCCTCCGCGTGAAGGACAAAGACTACTTCCCTATCATCGTCGTTGGAAACAAGTGCGATCTAGAGAAGGAGCGAGCTGTGACGGAACAAGGTTGGTTGATCGATTAAGGGGGATGGGGCTGAACTTTTTTATCTTGCCCCCATTTCTCACCCCCCTACCGCAAATCGATACCGAGCTGACAATTGTCCGCGTCTACAGAGGGTGAAGCTTTGGCTCGCCAATTCGGCTGCAAATTCATTGAAACGTCGGCGAAATCCCGTATCAATGTTGAAAACGCCTTCTACGACCTTGTCCGTGAGATCCGTCGCTACAACAAAGAGATGTCGTCGTACCCATCAGGCTCGGGCGCATTCGGTTCCCGCGCCCCCGAAGGCAAGATGGACGTGAGCGAGCCCGGCGACAACGCCGGCTGCTGTGGAAAGTGTATTGTTATGTAATTGGGGAGGAAAACCGAGCATTGAACTTAATACCATAGGATTTTCACAAAGGCGCGCGCACCCACCCACACAAAGTCGAACATACGAAAGGATAACCCCAAAGAAACCCATGAATGAGAGAAGGAAAACCCGAGAGAAGAAGAAAAGAACCACAAAATTATTTCTACCCTTCGACCTATAAAGAAAAGACGACCGACAAGGATACAAAAAAGGTCGTTTTGATCGTCGGACACTGATTGTGACTTTGTCGACGCGTTGATTTCTTGGATTGTGAACTTTATACCACACGAGGCTCCCTTCTCAGATGATGTCTGCTTTTTTTGTTCTTCCACCACCGAAATACCTCCCTCCCACAACCTAATGCTATCATCGTCTCCATGAACGTTCGATTCCCCCTTTGTTTCTTCAGTTTTGATTGTTATTTATTTTTTTGGGAGAGATTGTTCTTGATAAATCCCCTGTCCGGAGGGGGGATGAATGAAGCCTGTCAATAGAATACTTGTGCAATTATATAGGTACAACGCTATTGTCATGGTCCGGACTTTTATTTCATTTGGGTATTTATTCAAGGACTGTCAAAACGTCATATTTCTTTTCTTGTTCTCTGCCATTTTCTTCCAGCCATGTGTATCGATCTATCTATCTATTATTTGTGATCTGTGGACCATAATATTTATTTTCTTTTTGACTGCTCTTGTTTCTGTCGCCGAAGCGTGCTCCTTTCCTTTCCCTTCAAACTGACATTCTTTCGGCCTGCCGGGATAAGTACTGCATTCTGATGTTCTGAGGATTCGACGTCATTCTGCGATTTCATCCTGTCTACCCTCATTTCACGGCATGCATCAAGGATCGGGTTTTTTGGTTTTTGGTTTTGTGTACACTTCTTGAATATATTGGTCAATGTTACTTTTTTGGAAGCAATCGTTGAATATGCTGACCGTGAAGGATCTACTAGGAGAGGTCGCCGTACGACTAAGGTCTAGGTAGTGGTTTGATATTGGTGGTCAGGACGATAGGCATATAGATTCACAGGATGGTATTTCTAAATAGGTAGTCACAAGGTATGTATGCATGAATATGTTTATGCAATCACTGAGAATACTCCTTCGGCTTGCCTTCCTCCGTGTCAGAGGGCGGGTCAAGCTCATCCTCCTGGGCGACCTTCTTGCCCTGAACGTTCTCCTCGACCTCCGCGACCAACGAATCCATGAATTCCTTGTCCGTTCCGACCAACGTGACCGTGTTGCGCTTCTTGCCCCAGCGAGGATAACTGCCAACCTTGATGCCCCGGGAAGCGGTGCGCGTAGCCAGGTCCGTCAGGTACGGCGCCACCGTGCTCTCCGGAAGTGGCGTGCTGATCAAGTACCGGTAAATGCCCTTCCCCTCGGGGTTAGTCAGGCGCGGCAGAAGCGACGGCTTCAGGTGTTCGAGAAGTCGTTCGAACAGACGAGGCACGCCGGGAAGAATGTGCACATTGCCGTTCACAATGGCGATCGGCACCCACATGTCCTCGGCCACGAAGACCGCCTGCTGTTCCTCGGGGAGGGTGCTGTCATGGGGGATCTCGACCATGCGGAGTTTCGCGGTGAGGTTGGGCGACGGCGTGTCCCAGTCGAATTTGGGCTGCATGGGATGAGGCTTGGAGAGCTTCTTCATCCGCTCGAAGGCTTGTTGGTGGAGTTTCAGTTTCAGGTTGAATGCCTTGGCGATCGATTCATAGGTGATGTCGTCGTGACTGTGGTGAGTTGATTAGCTTGCCCGATCGCGTGAATCATTGACCAGCCAGGATGAAGCACATCCACGGGTTTCCAAAGGTCATGCATGCACATACGTCGGCCCAATCCCACCACTAGTCACCACGAAATCATAATTATGGCTCATCCTCCGCACCGCCTCAATGATCTCACTCTCATCATCGGCGATCACCTCCACCCGCTTGAGCTGAATCCCCAGCGAGAAGCAGTATTTGGCCAGGAAGGCGGAATTCGTATCGATGGTCTAGAACACATTCCGGATTAGGCAACACACACAAACCGCGACTCCCTAAACGAAGACCCCGGGAAATGAAGAGAGAAAAAAAAGAAAAAAAAAAAAAAAAAAAAAAAACCAAAAATCGAACATACCTTTCCGCCTAACACCTCATCGCCGATAATCAGACACGCCGCCGTATGTATCGTCTTCCGACTGTTCAGCACCGCGGATGATGTCATTTTCGGGAACGGGTTGCGAAAGGGCGAGACTATCGAGGCGGGGGTCGGAGCGGTCGCGGTCGAGAGAGGGGAGGTATTTAGCGTCGGGCGGGAGAGATGACGGGTGAGTTGATTGAGACGACTGAACATAAGGTGGTTAGGGAGGAAGGAAGGTGGAGTGTTATGCACTGGAGTCTGGAGCAGGAGATGAATTTGGAAGGGAAGGGAGAGAAAAGGCGGAGAAAGAGGGAAAAGAGAAGGAGAGAGGGAGGAGAAAAGGCGGAATGGAACGTCTGGTTTGATTTGCTTGTTTGGGTTTGGTTTGATGGGCGGAAGCGGAAGTGGGGAAAGTTTGGCTGTCCGTTTGATCTTTCTCTCTGTGCCTCTCTCTCTCTCTCTTCTCGTGTCATTCGTTTCCGGGTGTTGTCCACGCGACCTGCTTACGTTTTGTCTTGTTGTGTTTAAGATATCTGTTTGTCGGAAATACACAATCTGCTACCGTATACCCCCCGGAAATAGAGGAGGAAACAAACCGATCTCGTCATGGTCTGTTTAACCCGCGTATCCTATTGCCCCGCATCGCATTTATGCCGTCACCAGCATTCCTGGGGATCATTCATGCTATGCTCACACCCATACCTATAACTGATCCTTCGGATGCTGACGCTGACGCTGACACTGGCTTTACTACTACAGTCTGAATCCCGATTATATTCCTTCTCGCCAGAGACGAAGGAGCAACTGCGCAAATTTCGTCTCGGCACGTCTCGAGCTAAAGATCCTAAAGCTATCATTTGTACGCCTTCCTTTTTCTCCGTCTGCCTCGCTCGCTCCTTTCGTTTCGACTTTCTGTCCCCTCTACCTACAATATGAGATATTCGGCATGGTATCTACACATGGAAATGGAATAGAAACCCCGTCAGCGCAAAGTTAGACCCAGACCTATACATCCATACTCCTACCACGATCTCCAAACCAAACCCACCCAACGAAAAAACCTACTCGCAAAACACCAAATAGGATAGCCAGTTAACAGCAGAAAAACAAACAGACACAATCGACAGCAAGAACCAAGAAATCCGTCCCGAAGATGGCGAAGTCTACACGAAAATGGAAGACCTCGTCGACGAACTCCCCGAGTCTTCGCCGCGATTCATTCTTCTTAGTTATCCGTTGACTTTGGTATGACATCCCCCCTTTGCTTGGATAGGTTGGCTACAACATCCCAAGGACTCATCTCATATACCTTCCGGGATTTATGAGTTTGTATACTAACGAGAAATAATCTAACACAGGCATCCGGCCGTCTCGCAGTCCCCTACGTCCTTCTATACTACCTCCCCGTGAACTGCAACCCAACCGCACGCATGATGTACGCCGGCGCCGTCGAGCTGATGCGGAACATGGCTGAGGTGAACCGCGTGATCGAGGTGACTGAGGAAGATGAGATTGTCGGGATTGAGGAGAAGTTGCAGAGTCAGGATTAGGTGAGTTTGACTATGTTATAGATCATAGATTGAGCCATGGGGTGGGGTGGGGCTACGGTTTTTCTTTGCTATGTTGTGTTATGTTACAAGGTATAGGGAATCTAGCGATTACTAGGTAGGGTTGGTTGGTATACTTAGGTAGTGATCTAGGTATACGTAGGTACCTTCCAATGGTAGGTATGTAGACTTTCAACTCAGTCCACCTTCATCCGGATGACCATGACCAAAACCATTTCTCGGGATTTCATTTATCCCGGACTTGGCACATACGAGAGAACCGAATTCCTCTATACCACCATGAATAAAGCATAATCATGATAACACCGAAGACCGACCAGTAAATACTCTAAGGTATGTACCTAGTCTATCAGACGTCACAGGCTCCGCGGAGTACTATGGTATGGCATATCTATATCGCATCTGTTTAAAAACACCAAATACTTGGCCGTTTGCCTCCCTTGTAAGGTTAATAATAATGGACCAACGTACGCTCAAGAACCATCTCTCAGACATCTAGAAAGTGTCCACAGCACAGACTACCTACAGATCTGTAGACCCGATACCTAATACACCATGATATCTCACTCGCCAGCTCTTTACCGACAGTTCCAGGTCTAGGCTTACATATTTCTTCCTTTTCTGGTAATTGAAAACAAGCATGACATAGGATTCTCGGTAGCTTCTAAATGGAGGGGCAAGGGAGAGGATTCATCCTGGAACTCTAAACTGGAGTCGCTGTCCAAATAGAGTCATCTAGCTGGGGATTGAATTCCAGGTTGATAGACATAGTATAACAGATTAGGAAGGTTGAGTAGGTATCTTATAGGTGTTCAAGGATACTCACAGGAAGGATTAATCTGCTCCGTGGGTGTTGGTTTGTATCTAACTATGACTTCTGTGAACTTTACTTGAGCCATACACACACAAACATACAACACACCATGTTGCATGAGTAGACATAGAACTGTCTTTTGTACTGTACTTTCTTGGTGTACCTTGGTAGGTAAACTAGATATACCCCGAAGCCCATTGCAAATGGAGCACGCACGCACTCACTCCACATCGATGGCCGAGTAACAAAACCCACAACAAGAATATATATAAATTACTACATCTACTAATGACATCCCGAGAAATAGACAGACTGTTGTTGATCAGAAACAGATCCTGGTATGTATATACAATACTTACGTCCATCCATCTATACTGGTTGATGCCTTTTTCCTCGAGGGGCCTGATCTGTTCTTTTCCTCGAGGCGTATTACAGCTCCCTGAAATTGAGGTGTATGAGGTTGATATGTATGTACCCATGTACTGCACATAGATGAGACAACGAGATAAGAAATAACAAGCAACACATAAGATCAACCAGATCATGACGTGTTGAGACAGGTGGTAACTAGCTCTCCTAGGTAGGTATGTATTGCCGGATAACCGATGACGGAAGGAAGGAAGGCAGGAAGAGAGACACTCCTGTTGAACTGGGATGAATACCTAAGTAACTGTCTGAGCTGGACACAGAAATTGCAAGTTGAGGTCTTTCGATGGTCTAACCAAGTGGGTAGACTAGAGATGATGATAGGGTTGAAGGGTAGATGCCATTTGGTTGACGGGTCGGAGTCTGAGGTAGGTGAGCTGATGGAATGTATAAATCTAACGATTCCTCATGGAAGAAGCTTTAAGGAGGCTCGAGAGTTCTTTCATTTGTAGGAGGGTGAAAATCGCTTGAATTGTCGCAGATGGCATTTGGACATGCCAGTCCTTGTTGATCCGTTGTATCGCGAGTATGGTGATCACAGATAAAGTGGAAAGAACCAGAAGAAGATAAAGGCGAGACGAAATGTAACGATGTGGAATGGGTGGGGGTTGTACTCGAGTGTGATATTAGTAGGAAGAGAGGTTGGGATTCGGAGGTGTTCCTTTAGCTCTTGGTTTAAATTGATTATACTCTTCTTTGGTACTGTGGAAAGTGTGTTTTTTTTTTATTAAATGAAAGGACATAGAGGATAGTATAATTCGAAGTATATGGAAAATTACAATCACTCTCAGTTACGTACAAACAGATTGTACAGTTCAACAGACAACTAAGATTTTCTTCCCCAACTGCAAGCATACCGAATAGACAGCAGTATGCATTGTCCGTACAGGCCATCCCGAATAATCACTCAGCAAATAATGAAACTACCAGACAACCCCCAAACAGACCATGTCTATCAAATTGTCCATTCCCATCTAGAACAGTAAAACCCCATCCACCGTGGACCCCAACACGATAGTCCACGCCTCAAACAACAACCGCGGCCCAAATCCCACCGTCCAAGCGTAGCCTGGTCTCTGGATCAGCAAACCCCACAGTGGAACTCCCTTAAAGGTAAAGGATTTGACAATCGTCACGACTAAGAACGTTCGGGTAGGAGTTCAAACCTTTCCGTCCGACATCTGCAGCGTCGTTGACACCTGGCAGATTCTGAGTCCCCAGTGCTGGAAAACGCAAACTAATGCCGGAGATCGGGACGCTCGGTTCCGTGAACTTTACTATACATACGATACACAGTAGGGACTGGGAAAGGGTCCGAGTCTGCGTCTGCGTCTGCGTCTGCGTCTGCGTCTGCCTACACAGTGTTTGTTGACTCTGACGACATCTGCCCTCGGCACCTCAGGCACTGACCACCCTGGCTTTTGGTTTTTACTTCTTACTTTTTTTTTTTGCGTTGGTAGCGACTCTACCGGTGGGGATTGACGGGCTGGTTCTCATTTCCCTCGATTCTGTCTGGTGATTTTGTTGCTTCACTCCCGGTCTAGATCGACTAAGGTACTGGATGGGGTAAATCCGGCACCCAAAGAACCCGATCGTCGCGCTACAGGGACTATAATTTACGAAGATAATACCTAACCGTTCCATTCTGCCTCCTGGTCAACCGTTACCTACACAGGCTTATTACTGTCTGAATTATCGCCTCACCTTGGTCAGGGGTACGCAGTGCAACAACCGCCCCATGCAGTGGTCGAAATAGCAATCATAATAATCCTACTACTACTAACAGCGCTAACCACGCAAGATACCAGAACCGGACCTCCCAACAGCGCAGCAACCAGTGGGGACGAAAGAGGGGAAAGGGCGTCAAACGAAAGCCGGTAGGTAGAATTTCTCCGACTCTCTCGTCAGCCTGCATGAGACGGGCGACTCTAGAACGAAGCATCGAATTTCTGTCGGGTCTGGCTGGGCGCTTGTACTTTTGCACTTATGTACGAGGGAGGGGAAGGTGTAATAATAATCATAATCATAATTAGGAAAAATCATCCAGTAGTCAGAGTCATACAGTAGAAAACAGAAAAGAAAATACGATCGCGGTGACGGTGGGAATCTGCAACCCGTCCTGCATGAAGCCGTTGCGGTTTCTCCGGGTGGTTGCGTGGTTGAGCTGCTCTGCTTTTCCTTGCTTTTTTTTCTCGTTTCTATTCTTTTTATTCCTTTTTCCTCCTTCGTGTCGTGCATCGTGCATGGCCTGGACTAACCACGTCGCGTTTTAGTCGCGTCCGGCGCCAGTGCGGTGTACGCCCTTTGATTGAGGGAGAAAAAGGAGTTGGAAGCCAGGTATTAAGGGACGAGTTTATTGGGGGGTGATCAAGTATCATACGAGGCACACGGCTGAAGCCATTCCTGCTAGTTGTCAATAGAGACTGGGGAGAAGCACCGGTGCCGTGATGGTCAGGAGTAAATCCACCGAAGTGGAAATGCGCCCCCCTCCCCCTTCACTCCCTTGCTCCCGGCCGCCATGCCGGTAACGTCTCCCAACGCGTGGTCGAGAATCAAGCCATGCATCCATGCATCCCTTCGCTGGCAGTTACCCGTTGGATCATACCTATCCATGGGTATCCAGCCCCCCGCCCCCCGGGGTTGCCGAATCCAGGATGCTAATGCTACTTTCATCCCTCAGGAAGGCCCCCCGGGCTAACCCGTCGTTAGTGTCTACTTTATGTGCTAATGTGGTCGGCTACGGTAAGGTAGCATTGACCCTTTTGGCTCCTTCCTTCTCTTTCTTGTTTTATGATTGTATGGATGACTGGAATCCGGATTTTTAGGGAGGAGAATCCCAGGAAACGGCACTGCAGGATGGTCTATCCGGACCCGTCTTTTCGTTGTGTTATGCTCAGGGTCATGAACCCCGCGGACCATCATCTGATGAAGTGTCGATCGGTCGAGGACTGGCTGCCCGACAAACGGTGATCTAACGATGACCTCGTACGAGCCGGGGGGAGAAGACCGTTTGCCTGAATCATCGCGAATGAGGAACATCTCGATCGCCTGCACGATCCATGCCAAAGCCGAGTCAAATACCGCTACTCGGTACGTTTTTCATGACATACATACATACATACTGTACGTACAGGTAATTCCCTAATCGACAGGGATTCCATCTGCAGACTAAATTAGCGACGTCCACCCATGTAGGTCCCGGTCCCAGCGGTGCTGGACCGGGATAAGAACACCAACCGAGTGTTCTTCAGTCCCCAACGTGGATGGACTGCTCCGTCTGAAAGGGGTCAAGACCGTCAGTCAGGCGTCAAGTCAATATGAATTGAATTCTGACGAGAGCTGAGATTGAAACTCCCGGACGATCGAGGGGACGGGCGGCTGCCAAAAGGACTAAAGTTCGGCGGACCAAGGCTGGTCCCATTCTGGCATCGGCGGTGCTTCCGGAGTGGGACAACTCAACTCTTAGTCCCGTCGCATCGGTTCGCCTAACTCCACCGGTATTTTGGATTTCATAAGTGGTTTTAGTTTTTACCCATCGCCTTGGTCGGTATTACACTGAGTACACTGAGTACACTGAGTATTCATAATTCATATTGCATATGGAATATACTCAGGAATAATATTATGACTTATGATAATAATCACTTTGGCGTCCCCACCCCGAGGTATGGAAGACTGGAAGCCGTCACTCGTTCCGCACGGATCGTTCCATGCGCTTCCCACGGTACGGGTGGAATGTCATTTTATCATTTATTTATTCAGGAAGTCTAATTATCCTGCGGCTAATTTTACCTGCCCTCATTATTTCACTGATTTCACTTTAAAACATTCCTGGAAGCCGAAGGATTCGGACCCGGTTGTCCTCGAAGGAATTTGAAGAAACCTCTTAATAATGTCGGTGAATATTCCATCGAGGCAGATACTCTGTACGAAATACTGGATGATGATTTCTTTCATCCCGGTTGTCTGTCCCCTTAATTCGAATAGTATCGGTCTCTCCAACCGGGATTATTTAATACCAGCGCAACTGTACTCGGTACTCCATATTATTTAACCAGAGTTAATCGGAAATCAAAAATCAAATCAAATGAAATAATTGAAAAAGACCCATGTGCCACTCCCTTTAGCATTACCCACCACCCCCCTCTCTTGCTCGTCCGGTTCCCCCCAGAAAGCCTAATCGACTTCTATTTATCGCGGGCCTCGCGCTGTCGCCCCGTCCACCAGGTCTGTGTCCTCTTTCTTTCTTCCTCTTTCTTTCTCGCCTCCTCTCGCCTCTCGACCCAAGGGACTGGTTTGAAGCAGTCGCCCGCAGCAGTTGATCCTTCAGTGGAGACCGACAGTGATCTGACCGCCAGTCCACCAATCAGCCGGAGCCCACCCACTCTGACGGGTTCCCTGCGTGTTGCGGTTTTAATTTTCTTGCTTTGGCTCTCACCTTCTCGCTGGGTTGCAGGTCCCAACTCTCTGGTTTCGGGGTACTTCCCGTGCGACCTGCCTATACCCTGACGAACTATAACTGCCCGCCCCGTCTTCTCTTCTTTCTTCTCATTTCGTGCCCAACTCTTTTGTCGGTGGGTTCTCTGCTTCATCGGTCCTCGCCATTTACACCAATTATCGATCCTCCGTATATCCGATCTCGAGTCCCTTAGGCGCCACCATTCCCCAAAATTCCCGATACGCACCCCCCAGCGATTAATATGAACAAATCGCTATAACGTACCAACGTACCGTGGACCGCCCATATTCGAATCTATCTTGTTCTGCTCTAGGAGACAAGCACGTCGTTCTATCGAAAATTCCTCCGAACGCCACAACCACTTATTATCGCTCGTCCTTACGCCTTTCCGCAAATCGGTTTTATTCGGCTCTAAACGCAGCAGGGCTCGCAAGGAAACATGTCTACTGCGGTCGAATCCAACCCGCCCGGCGAGGCCAAGCCGGAGGGTCTATCGAAATATATTAAGCGCATGAGAACGGTCTTTCGGAGAAGTTCGACCGCAAAATCGGGTTCTGGTGCTGCGTCGAACATGGAGGGAAAGGCCGAATCTAGAGAGGCTGAACAAATTGCGGGGTAGGTTTTTTCCAAAGGCATCATGATTGATATGACACTTTTCTCGGGACAGTCTAGCTCACCATCTTATTCTCTCCGTCTAGACCTACCGCAGCCGCAGCCCCCAAGCCCACCCCGGCTACTACTACTACCCCGGCCCCTAAACCAACCACGATCGCAACGTCCCCCGCCGACCAACCCATCGTCGTCTCCCACTGGAGCGCCATCCAGGAAGCGCGCACCCGCGCCCTCTTCGCGAAACACGGCCTCTCCCTGGCCGACGACGACGACTGGAAACCCACCGACACTTCGGTCGAGCGCGTCGCGAAACCCATCCGCATGCGTGTGCGCCGGAGCTGCCACCGCTGCCAGACGCCCTTCGGATCTGACAGAGTCTGCGTCAACTGCCAGCACACTCGGTGCAAGAGCTGCCCGCGCCACCCGTCTCCCAGGCGCAAGGAGGACCCGGAGACCGCGTTCCGGAACCTCATGGCGCAGAAGGGCAAGGGCGTTGCCGGTAATGCGCCGGTCCCGCAGCAGCAGCATGGTAACCCGTCGCGCCCGAAGCAGATTAACGATGGTAATCGCAACGAGTACGTGTTGAGAATTCCGTCGCGGACTGGCGGCCAGGACTTGGTTCGGAAGCCGGTAATGCAGCGCGTGCGACGCACTTGTCATCGCTGCGATAAGCTGTTCGTCGCGGGTTCCAAGCAATGCTCCGGGTGTGACCATGTTCGGTGCAAGAAGTGTCCTAGGGATCCGTATGTCGCTCATCCCCTGCCATCTCATCCTCAAAGTTTACCGAGGCAAGTAAACTAACACATCTCCCAGGCCCAAACCAGACAAATATCCTGAAGGCTACCCCGGCGACGTCGAACCACCCGTGGAACTACCCCCGCGGACATGGAAAAAAGTGCGCCGCAGAGTCAGGTACACCTGTCACCAGTGTTCGACCGTATACCGGTCTGGACAGGATATCTGCGGCAATTGTGGACAGGAGAGATGCGCTGAGACTATACGTGAGCCGTACGTTGGCCTTTACTTTCATACTCCAGATCAATGATTTATAACTTTGCATACTAACCATATTATCTCACAGACCCAAGCGCGTCAAACCGGAACCGGACCCAGAGATATTCAAAAAGGTCGAAGAACGACTGGCGAGTTTGAGACTTGCAACGGAATAGCCGGTCTCGAGTTGAGGGTGCGATTCGCCTCGTGCTTCTTGCTGGTTAGGTAGATTTATTCTCACCTGACATTTCTTTTTGCGCTTGAATGTTGGTGATGATTTGGGCGGATATTGATTACTATATATAAGCGCGGTGATTCTTTCATTCATTACTCACCGTTTCATTTTATGATCACTCACTCGTTCTTGCAGTATATGTAAATGTGTAGGTGTAGGTGTAGGTATACATGTAGTACAGTACAGGTAGTCTTCAGCGCTTGTTCAAGACTGAGTTCGAATTACTATACATATACTACTGAATATAAAAAGGGACCCTTCCTTGCCCACTGACCACCTACACATCTCACATCTAGGTATCTACGGAGTGCGGATCCTCCATGCCAAATACCTACCCCCTAATTACGGAATATGTATATCGTAGGAAGTTCGAAACCAGAACTAGAAAGCAATAAATAAACTCCCTCCTACTCCATATAGAGTAGTGCTCCGTCCTCCCAAGTGGATAAAAATATTAATATAAATTAAAGTCTAACACATGGCAGTGGCACAGCGTGGCATAGCGTGTAATGTGGACACCAGAGTCTAGACAACAATGGACATGTCCAGGACCCGAACCCGAATCGCCGGGTCGGCGGAGACTCGGATCCGGGAGGATGTGGATGGGGATGTGGATAGTAGATACGGTACTGGACTGAACTGGACTAGCTGGATTTCTGATTCCTGATTTCTCCGTAAATAGACGGAGGAATAGTAATACTAATTTCTTGTTGCTTTTTTGGGGTTGTACTCCGGTGGTTGAGTTACATGACTAGTGGTTACAGTAGTCTGGGTTGGTGTTTTGTGTAACTACTAACTAGGTACCGAAGATATAGTTGACTTGGTGTGCTTGGGGAAAGGGGGTTTGGGTTTGGGTTCTGAATCTATCCTCGTACATACTATTTTATTCTCAATCTCTTTGCCTTATATTCTTGTTTTGTTGTCCTTTTTTTCTTCTCTCTTTTGTTAGTGGACGTTGTACAGTACTCTGAACTAGGTGTTTGATTTAGCTGTAAACTGTAATCTCAGTTTCTGAGAATTTATGATCAAAGCATGGAAATGCCGTTGAATGAACAGAATTGAAAAACATGTGCTACCGGAGTGCACGACATCCGAATCAATAAGTAGGAAATTCCAGATTCAAAACAACCTTTGAAATCTCAGAGACTGGAATACTTGTGCCTTTTATTGACGCAGCGTCTTTTTCTTAGAATCTGGCAGTCTTGTACAAACAAGTCAAAAGGAGGTATATTTCTACGTACCTCAAAGTAATCAACTTCCTCAAATTGACATAGTAATAATGATCCATGTTTCAGCCTAGGATGCAGAACACAGCCTATGGCAAACTATGAATATTGATTAAACTCTGAGCAGATGCTTATACCGGCCACTTCATCGGAAACCCATTATGCTGGCACCATATGCCCTTTCTCAATACTTCTCATGAGCCTATAATTCTCTAATGGTGGGTGGTAATTTGCTGCTGAGCGTCTACGCGCCTGCTTTGCTGTTATGCTGGAATAAAGAGTCGGTTCCATCTGGTGATAGTAGAATAGCTGGCTTACCAATGACTGGAGCTCACGTACTATCAAGCTAGCATGCTGTCCAGACTCGTCTCATTTTGTTCGTTCTTCTAAGATCTATGAGCTCCAATTTGAACTTTTCTTAGAGAAACGCGCGGATAGCAGCGAAGGCGGACAGCTTATGTCCGAGACTGCAATGGTCCTTGTCATTGTTGGCGCTTGACTGGTCAAGACACTAAACTGATCAAGCAGGAAAACCCCGCAAAATGCTCTAGAAACAATTTCTAACTTTTCAATAGGCAACCAACTCCTAAAACTAAAGAGCAAAGTCTATCTATCGCTACGGTGATTAACCTTCATGTCCGAGGCAGCTATCCCGCGCTAATCCTGTTACGGAGTAGCGCGGTCCGAAACATCCAGCCAATCAGCAGCTCTCCATTCCGACGCATCCAATCCAATGATCCATGGAGCCCTAACAAGTCCTTCGTGAAAGCCATATTTTGGAACACGCCGATTGGAAATCAGGCTGCTGGTCTGCGCAATTCTCCATGGAAAGCTATTCAAGCAGCCGTGGTTCTGGGCAAGTAGGTTTGTATTCTGCAAGCTTTTTTCGCCCTTGATCTGGTGGCTTCTTACTCGAAATCATTCTTTATACTATCTACCACGATGACCGGTCTATCATTTGACCCTGCAAATGACGCCCCTGATGTGGAAGGGAAGGTTATCTTCATTACAGGAGGTAAGTACAAACAGCCTATACAATCTCGAATAATTCCAATCCCAAACGCCATTCCCGCCTCTGACCTCTAACCATGACACTTGCTAATCCCTCCCAGGAACTGCAGGCCTCGGCGCAGAGACAGCCCTCCACCTAGCTTCCAAAAAGTTATCTCACATCTACATCAGCGGCCGCAACGCCAAATCCGCCACCTCTATCAGCGAGAAAGTGCAAAAGACCAACCCCAGCACAGCCATCACCTTCATATCCTGCGACCTAACCGACCTCTCCTCGGTGCAATCTGCCGCCCAGAACTTCCTCGCCCAGGAATCTCGTCTCGACATCCTGATCTGCAATGCCGGAATCATGGCCACGCCGCCCTGTACCAGCAAAGACGGCTACGAGATCCAGTTCGCAACGAACCATCTGGGTAATGCACTTCTCATCAACTCCTTCCTGCCTGTTCTGCGCTCAACAGCCTCAGCCTCAGCCTTTAGCAAGACTACTAACACCAGCATTAAACCCCGAATCATCCTCCTCACGTCCACGGGCTACCTCCTCCACCCCCTCTCCGGCATCAACTTCGACACCATACGAACCCCCAAGAAAACTTCTTTCTAATCCTCAACCCCTGGATCCGCTACGGCCAAAGCAAGCTCGCCAAAATCCTCTACGCGAAAGAACTAGCCCGCCGCTTCCCCGAGATCACAACAGTAGCGATCCATCCGGGCGTAGTAGGCACAGATCTCATTTTTTCCATGTCCTGGGGCCATAGGGCGTTTGTGTACACCACCACGCTGGGACGGTATCTGAAGCCGGAACAGGGGGCTTGGAACTCGGTGTGGGCTGCGTCGGTGGAGGAGGGGAAGTTACAGAGTGGGGGGGGGTTTATGTGCCGGTTGGGAAGGAGGAGAGGGTTTGGAGGTGGGCTAGGGATGGGGTGCTGGGGAGGAGGTTGTGGGTGTGGATGGAGGAGGTGATTAAGAAGTTTTTGTAGGTAGATGGGTTTATGGGTTGATGGCTGGGTAATGAGTGGGTGGTGCTGTATGTTTGTTTGTATTTCATTGGTGAGGTTTAATGTTTTTTGCTTTAGAATGTGATTTAATTTAGAACCTGTTTGATTTAGCAAAAAAATACTTGTTCTAGCGTTGAGTGCATATTTTCCATCAAGCTATTTATTGTATAGAATGAAACTTTTAAGCCATTCCCTTCAGTTGATGCTTTGGCTGGTGACTCATTTTCCCTCACTCCGTATAGTTGGGATATCCAACAACTCTGGTTATGAGAGAGGGTCTCTTCTGTATCGACTCTATCTGTACATGAAATGCAAGAGACAAATGGTATATGAATATAAGACTAGTTCTTCGAGGGCAAAATAGGCAAAACCCGAAGAATTTAAAGATTAAGGCCAAGCAGAAGCAAGCAAAATCTTAACATTTATCATGAAGTTCATTGTCCACGGATCTTATTTGTGCGTTTCAATGCCTGAAGTACGAGCTGACAATGATTCGCCAGATCTCAGCATCTTCATGACCATTTTTATAGGTATGGGCACTTTACAAGACAGATCTCTGTCTTTTTACACCTATCGAATACTATCAATGAATCTTCTCATTCAGAAATTAAACCGGACTACAGAATATAGCTTTGATGAACAGAGTGGCCGCCCTGTAGCAAAAATATGCACATTCAAAAATATTATCATGATGATCACTATAATCATAATCATAAATAGATTCATAATTTATTCATAATGAGAATCATCGTTGTAATAATAGTAGTACCTAAAATTAACACACCTTACATACAAGAAATGCTCCGTAATACACTGACCTAATCAATACAATTCCAAACATAAGCTACAATTCACGACCAATACTGCGTATACACCTTCTCCAATACGGAGTACATTTCCCGTCAATATTTTCTAAGTACATCGCCAAGAAACCAACAGACCAACGCCTCTATTCCGTTGTTAGTCTCTTGCCTATTATGGTACTCTCTCCGATTATCCATGGATGATGGGTGGATCCGATTCGGACTTTCTCCGGTGGATTTCCCCTGCCTTGTACAATAGCATTTTATGTTGGTTTGGGATGTAAGGTGTCACAGGGACTATGGCCATGAACGAATATGCATACAGAGAAGGTGCATACTGTGTTGTGTAACTGTGATGCTCGTGGCAATCTATACATGGACAGATTGGTTTTTTTTTTGATCATGTTGGCGAGCGCAACATGCTGGATTTGTACATAGACTGGCTAACTAGTCCATATGTATGTACATAAGTACAGTACAATGCATACACATGTTATATATCTGTAACTGGGATGATAATCCGGCTACATGCATGCAGCCAAGCCTCCAGATATACAGAACAAATAGAGACAATGCAATACTCTCCTCATCTTCCTAATCAAGTGTCAGAACGTGAACATAAAACCCAAGATTTTAAAACAATTCAATTACCTAAACGGCTGTAAAAAGTACCATTTCAAAGCAAGAATGTCGTCATTCCGCGTCCTCCCTATCATCATCGAAGACCAGAAATAGATAGTCACCGATAACCCATCTCGTGCCACTGCATATGATATACTATGCATGAGGAAGAAAATAGCAAGAGGATCCAGCCACTGAATAGATACTCCGTACCAACGGTGTATATCTTATCCATGCATATCGCTGGTCAAGGGCCAATATCCGACGCAAGTCGTGCCGTGGGACGTATCCGCCTACCCACTTTCCGGTCCGGTCCGTGGCCCGCCCGTCCTGGTGCCTTGGTTCATGGTTGTATGGAAGGCTGTTGATATTTTATTCGGATTATACTTACTTGCTGGGTTTTATGAATGGGGTTATGGAGGTTAGCGAGTTCGGAATTATTGCCGATAATTATGATTGAAGTTGTATTTGATGCGGGTTGGGTTAAGACGAGAAGATGAGTACGTCATTGGTATTGATGGAGTTTATGGTCTACACAATCAATGAATGTTGTTGAGATAGACTCTTTGGGTTTCTTTTGTACGACTGTTTAACGTGTTTGGACATAATATTTCGTGTTTTTGATATTGTATGTATTTTCCACAGAATATCATTCAGCAATCTTTTCTGGCTTCCAGTTCAGTAGAAGTATAGGCTCCGGAGACTTTGACAATACAACAGCTTATTGTTTGCTCGTAAATTGGCCTCTGAGAATCATAATAAGAGAATCAATACGGATGCTCTCAACAGGATCAATCTGAGCATTGTACTGTTCAGGAAAGTCTTCTCGGCCACACAGCCCCATTTCCCCGGACATTGACCTCACAACCTCAAATAACCCCCAACGTAGCCCATTTCAAACTTGACCTAAGAAAAAGACTTACTCCTGATCCTCCTACTCCTCCTCATCGTCATCGCCATCCTCCACATTAAACGTAAACCACTGCGCACCGACCTCCTCCGCCGGCTCTGCCAGATGCAAAACATCACCCGCCTCAAGCACCCAGTCTTCCTGCCCCTCCCCAAAGTCCACCCCGACCATGAACGCCTCATTCTCGAAATCAGGCTTATACGCTGTAAAGGAAGTTCCGTTCTCGGCCAGCACGCATCCGGTCTCTCCCAGGCTGCATTGAATGTATTTTTCTGTCTGGACGTGCTGGATTAGGACTTCGGTGTCAGAGTTCTCCTCGGGAAGCTGAAATTGCCATTCTTCTTGCTCGGCGGAGATCTCTCTGGGGCCGTAGAAGACGATGGATGAAGTTTCGGTGTCACTGGATGCATCTGGGGCAGCACGGTAGTTGGTATTGCGAACGCCGAGACGGAGGGTGTCTGAGTAGGCCTGGCCGGTGAGGGCAGCGAGGAGGGTGATTGCGAGGGTGGCTTTCATTGTGGATGGCCTTGGATGAGGCTTGATGCTTTTAGTCAAAGTGAGGATTTGTGATAACGTGCTGGTTTCCAGGTCTGAGATTTTGAGTTTGAAGATCTTCGATATGAAGAGTAAGTGGATGATATTTATGTTCTATTGACTTTGAACAGCATTCTTCATATGCAAATGAAATCAGCTGGAATGTCTCTAGCTATATGAGGTTTGTGGGAGCTTGAGCAGTGATTACACTGAGGCTGGTTTTGGTCTCCTTGCGTGTTCCTGTTTCGTCCCTAGCTTGCATGTTTGAAGGGCCTGACCTTTCAATGTGAGACAGCAGCCACGTCTAAATGGGTAATTTTAATCTAGCTAAGAGTCCTCAACTCTTCTCAATTGTTCGAAAGGCCCTTAAGTCCTGATAGCCTGGGAGTCATCAGAAATGAACGTTATGATTTAGCACAGCATGGTGGAAGCTAGATAAGGAATTCCATTCAGGAACTTGCCATCCACGTGCTGTATGCTCTACAAGTTTGAATGAGGAATATCTGAGTCCATGCAAGGGGCTAAGGTCAATGAAATCAAGCAAGGTGGTGACAGGCAGCGGTTCGGAATGCTCTAGCCTGTCGCCTTCTGGGGCTCTCATTTTGCCGTTAGATTTAGAGTGACGCTGCAACGAGCTGAAGAGACTTTAGGAACGAGACATCTTTTTTTGGTAGTTTTCTGCAATGTTAATGCTCGTAGATTACTTAATCTAGAGCGCTATTGCACAAAGTTTCATAATTCTCTTTGTCACACATATAATCAGAACTTCATATCCTTCCCGAAAGAAGGTATTTATTGATCCCTGGGAAGCCCCCGAACAAAACCAATATACCTGTCTCAGCATCAGAACCGTGATGTTAGATGAGCTGTGGCATTTAACACAAGGCACATTAAGAACTAAAGTGAACTGTTCCCTTGCAGCAATTGAATCATGTTCCAGACCTTGCGCGCTTATGAAACAGACGTACACTGCAACGAGGGTAGCATTCTAGATATGTTTTAGTCAAAGACATTTAGTTAACTAACATGCAGACTCATATTACTAAAGGTCTGGAGCATTCTATTTCCCAAAGAGGAAGGTCCAAAGCGTGGTGCTGCTAATCCTCATGCGGTATAAAATGACACTAGTTCTTTAGCCAGAAAAACCCCTAATAATACGGCTAAAGTAGACCGACTTTCGTTGCACTTCCCTGGTGGATTTTAATCCTAGATGATTGATACCGGGGTGGCAATCCTGTAAAGGTCGCCAAAAGAGGTAAAATAAAAATCCAAGATAATAAATCCCTAAACCAACCAACAGCTCCCAGAAACCAACAACCCACAATCCTTGAGATCGGCTAGATAGAGAAGGATCTAGTCTACCCAGTTAATTCCTCGGCCCGTTGTCTCCGGTCCATCTTGGCTGGCCACGGTGACTACACCGAAGTTCTACCAAATCCCGAGATTACAGTGTCCAAGACGCTCGAGTCAAGAAGGCAGAAGGTGGAAGGCGAAAATCCTAGCAGGTAAGCCTGAGGCAACCGACTGTTCCGCCGCAGTGGATGCAATTGCTATTGGTCTACCCTCGGCCATCGTGCATCAGCGGCTAATGCGGGTTGCTGCGGTATTCGAATTATTCGTATGGTTGATGTCAGTGGCGTTGGATGTGTTTTCGTGTTCTGTTATGCATGGCGTTGAATTCTTTGGAATGAGTGAATTCAGACATGGATGTTGAAGTCCTATGGAAAATAAGTCAATGGACTGAAATATCTCGCTCGGCCTGGGTCTGTATTAGCTGTTACCTGTGCGTTTAATGCCCTGTTATGACCTTTTATGTAAGATTTCATCCTACTAGAGAAGATAGGCTGTTGGATTCATGCACATTGTTTCAAGCGAAATGCAATAGCATAAGCTCCAAGCTTTAATTTGAATAAGATTCCAACGAGACTAATCATGCAGAAATGATAGGATAACATGTGCAGGTCCTGACCTTATCCCTTAACAATGTCATCTCACCAAATGACCAACTCGTAACTCAACTTAAACTACGGAGTATCTGTCAATTCAAAATCATACCAAGACATCATCACTAAGGTACTATCCATATTGGTCCTGAATACAGTTAGCATTGCAAGTTGCGAGGGTTAAGGTGTAGCACGTACCATTTGAGCTTGCTGAGCTACCAGTGGCGTAAGCTCAAGGTCGTAAAGACCCAGCACATAATCGTATAAGCGGCTGGCGTCAGTCAGGAAGCATTTGTGTTCGATTGCATCGTCCGCTTGCTCGGAGCTTGATTTTGCCACAAGTCACGATCACTTGGTTCGGTCCCAATCCAAACAATCTTCACAGTAGGCTTTCTCGCAACTTGAACATGGGTACAATAGGCCTCCGGCCTGCGCTGCCTTTTTTTCGCATTCCCAACAAGAGTGATGAGGGCATACGATCCTGTTGATACTCCACTTGAGCCGATCTTCGAGACATTCCTCGTGGAATGCACGGGGTCAGATGACGCAGTCGATCGGGTTGGAGCCGCGACATGAGAAGCAGGTCTGGGGGCGTTAGCTAATCATTCCACGAAAATTGTGATACAGCGGAGGATTTTAAATGACCAAATTGATCAGTCATTCTTATACGGTGTTCGGTTTAAGAGGGTGGGGGAAAGTTTGATGATATGGTGATTTGACTTACGAGCTCGTGGGAGATTTTGGCAGTTGAACTGCGTCCTTCCTGCTTTTCGAAAGGTTTACCACCAGGAGACAGGGGTGCACTGTCGAGTATACTGTCTTTCGAGACCGCAAATCCATCGATCATGACCGTGCGCTCTTCTCCGATCCTTCTGGCAGCGCGAAAGAGATTCAGTGGGACAGTTTCTTTGTAAACCGAGAACGACCTGCCGCTGGTGTCCACAGTTTCACCATTAAAGTTGTTGGTTCCCACACGGGCAGATTTCTCTATCCATGCCCTTTCTTCATCCATTGTGATGACCGACTGCGAATGTTCGCTCTCATTCATAGCGCATAGCTCGACGAAGCTTTTCCAATCTTACATGCTTAAATCTTTCGGGTACAGAGGCTTGGCAGCGTTGGAAACCATGTCTCCAAAAAGGCCAGATAGAGTAGCGCAAAGTTGTCCAGCGAGTCTGGTGCTGAAATGCATCACCGAGTCCGATAGCCTTCACTGAGATAGAAGGCTCGAGCTCTGTGTTTCCTGTAATGGTTGCTGCTAGGTAAGCCTTCTTGACCAGGCGACGCGACATCTGCCCCTCGGTCGTGCCCTTCGCCTGAATGCAAAAAATCTCAACTGGCTGGGTTTGACCCATGCGGTGGACTCGTGATTCAGCTTGCTTCATCACCTGTGGATTCCAGTCTTCATCAAGAAACAGCACAGTCGACGCGCTGATAAGATTCAGACCTTCGCCTCCGGCACGGATGAAAACAAGAAATACCATGTACCGGGGATCTATTTGAAAGAGGTACATGGACAGGTTCCTCATGGCACTGGGTGTTCCTCCGTCGAGTCGGACGTGCTTCACACTTTGGTCGTTGGTCGTGACCATTGATAACACATCCTCGCAGAGGTTGAGGGATTGATCGAAACCCGAAAATCTGACTACTTTCTTTCGCTCCGTGACGACGAAATGCTACAGAATCTTCCGCAGAACGGCAAACTTTCCTGAGGCTTCGATGATGCGATTGCCTGGTTCATAATCATCCGGTATTGCGTCGTTCAAGAGATAAGGCTGAATCGAGCACTAGAAAGTTTAGAATTGCGACTGGAATTCTGACTTCGGACTGGCTTACCTTTCGCAATTTCATCAGGATGTTATCGAGAATTCGAACTTTTCGTTTCTCGGCTTTAGGCTCAGGCTGAGAGGAGGTTGCATCTGAGGCGCCACTTCCAAAGTCCTCCACAGAGTTATCCATTCTCTCGGCTGATCTTTGCGCATGTTTTGCAGAAATGAAGACTTCTCTTCCCCGTCAAGGAGAGCCTCGGCGCCGGTCAAGATCCTGAAGTACCATGAGTACTGCAAGGGCGACAACGGAACTGAAATAATAGTCTCCGTCTTTTGTGGGATATTCAAGTTCAGTCCCGGGGATTCCTTATCCCTGCGAAGCATTACAAGTTTCAGGAATTGCTTGACATCTTCAAGGAATGATCGATCGAAACGCCCGTCTTTTAGGGAGAAAGAGTCATCAAATATCTGTTCAGTTGATGGAACAAACACATCCAGATATAACCAGTTGAATATCGACCACAGTTCTTTGAGGTTTTTTTTGGATCGGAGTCCTAAGAAAGGAAGGTCTTGTCAGCATTTCCCCAGAAGCAAGATAGACTTAGAAGAACTCACCCCGTCAAGACTAGCTTGAAGTCTGTCCGCAGTCGAGCCAACATCTGAGCTCTTTTGCAATGCCCATTCTTGATTCTGTGTCCCTCGTCGAGCACCTCATACCTCCAGACAAAAGCACGCTGGAACCAAACAATATCGGAAATGAGAGTCTCGTAAGACGTGATCACAATGTCAGCCACAGAGGAACTACCCTTTCTGGAGATCTTCTCCCGTCTGATGGGAGCCTTGATCTTCTCTCTTTCTTCAACCGTACCATGCAGCATAGCATTCAGCCACACACAGAGACATAGGACGCTGTTGAAATAAGCTTTGACTTTCCCCAGACTCGTGTTGATTTAAGGTTGGATGCTACGAAACATTTCTTCAATTTTGTCTTAATCCTGACTGTGGTCACCAGATAGGTTCCCGAGAAGCTTGACCTTATTTCTAAGACTTTGTCTTTGAATAATTTTCTTTTCTGAATCAGGGTTCAATGTGTAAATTAGAGTTGTCTTTAAGATTAGCATTGTCTTGGTGTCAGTTTCCTGGCTGAGACAGGTGTTAGCTGAGTCAAAAGAAAAAGAAAAGAAAAAGAAAAGAAAAGAAAAGAAAAGAAAAGAAAAAGGCGAAACAGCCCATAGCAGCCTGCGCACTGCTGGAAAGTTTAACTGTCTTATTCAGCCCACTTTTTGGATATTAGCCATATATCCAGGGTGATTTGATTCGTTGCCTTGATTCAGTCTCCCATATCTGTAGCTGCCTTGCTCGATTGCTTGATGAACATGGTAAAGGATATCAAGAAGTTTAGCTGCATGCTCGGGACATTTTCCTGAAGGAAAACTAGGAGATATGGCCAGGGGGCTGATTGATTGACTTCGCGAATTTGGGAATCCCATTGAGGTTGGCCTCGATCATAGTGCTTCACCTGTTGGAAAGATATCGGTAATATTCTTCCACGAACATTGACTTTCAGTGATTCGATAAATAATACAGCGGAGTTTCTGAAATGACCAAGTCCATCAGTCTTTATTCATACGGCGTTCGATGTAAGAGGGTTGGGGAAAGTTGGACAACGGTTGGCTCTTGAGAAAAATATAAAGCGATTTTCCGGACATTTTATCTACGATATTATGATGCGCTACCTAATAATGTGCATTACTACTAATCTCGCATGCTCTTTTTAATAAATGAGAATAGGAAATGCCATCTTCTTTCCTCGTTTAGAGCTTTCAATCCTATTAACTGGCCGGCATTCTATCCTACCTGAGACATGGACCGGAAATTAGGGCACCCCGGCCATGTGATCCTTCCTTATCGCGATAACAAATTTCTCCAACTCCGACATCATCGCAATTCTCCCCTCTCCAGACAACCAACCCTCGTTCTTCCATCCCATATTCCATGTCCCTTTAACCCATAATTCCTTACTAACTACTCTGTCCCCTCAAAATGACCACCCCAACAACAACATCAACCACCCCCAAACCCCGCAAAACCCACATCGCCGAAACCCTCCTCTCCCGCGCGCACTCCCCAGACACAGCCTCCGACCTCTTCACCGACCGCATAAAACAAAAGCCCCTCTACCTACGCCCTACATCGCCCACCCCAGCCGACAACCGCAACCGCCGTCGCCACCACCGCCTCCGCAAGAAAGAGTACTTCCTGCGCAAACAGAAGCCGCGGGCGCTGTCGGCGCGCGAGAAGCGCGCATCAGGCGTCTTCGACCTTCCCGCGGAGGAGTGCAAACATGCGGTGTTCAAGGGTCTGCATGAGCTTTGGGTTGGGTATATGCAGGAGATATTGGATTTGAAGGAAGAAGGTGGTGGTGGTGCGAGGAGGGATACCGGGGCGGTTACGCCGCTGTCGCATGGGAGTAAGTTGGCGAGTGCGGATTTCCATGGCGCAGAGGTGCAGGTTGTTCGGAGTCGGAGTCAGGGGAGAGTGGGCATGAAGGGGATTGTGGTGAGGGATACGAAGTTTACGTTTGTGGTTGTTATGGAGGGGGATGTGGTGAAGAGTGAGTTTTCCCTGTTATTTTCTTTTCTTTCAGGGTGATTTGGATCTAGGAAATCTTGGGATATTAGGCTGACTAATGATCTATGTACAGCCATCCCTAAAGAACAGACGATATTTCGGTTTACAGTGCCGCTGCCTGAGTCGCGGTCCCAGAGTGGCTCCGCCGAATCCGACTCCCAAAAGGATGAACCCAGCGCCGAAAAGAAAGAGCTCACGTTCGAGTTGCACGGAAGCCAATTTCTGAACCGACCTGTCGATCGCGCAAACAAAAAGTTCAAATGGCGCAATGTAGAATATCTATAAGTGACTCACGATATTTCACCTTCATTTGCTTATTGGGTGATGGAAACTTCGCTATCCTTACGATGTTACAGAGACGAGTAGTCTCATTTTATCATTGAAAGAGGAACGGTATATGAGACCGCAGTCCTGAACCCGGTCTTTTCGAGGCGAGAGCTGAAATACTGATGGCGTATGCACTGAACAGAGCGCGCCTGGTCTAAATAAACCTTGAGCGCTGAGCGAAGTCGCACTGGCCGTGGCGACCTGTGCCTGAACAGCCTTTTTTTTACTAGAAACTCGCTTATTATCACCGGCAAGACAGCCTGATGGCCACTGGCAACAAACCAAATAGCATACTACATGCCTACCGCGCCATCGACGCTTCCTGCTTCAGCGGCTACTAATTTTGTGGATAATTTTCAAAATTTCCCTTAAACCATATGCAAATCGATAGGTCGTTCGTTGTATGTTCTAGATACAAAAATTTCTTCATGTTTGACGAGGAATGTCCGGCATGAGCTATTCTTCGTGTATTGCGGATGCCCACCGCCCGAAGTAGATGTCTGAGACAAATAGTTGCAAAGTCGAAGCAGACCAACCTAGCCACGCCGAGCCGAACTATATCCAATCCTGTGACTGGAAGCGACAGGGACCCTCGTAGGCGCCGGCGCTTGATGTTTCACGCGTGATAATCTCACCGAGAACCCTCGTGATGGTAACATATGCGTTTCGTCTCGATGACCCTTGACGCGAGTCCCTAAGGGAGTAGACCGTGGTAGGCGAAAGTTATGGATGACACACTCTAATAGAGTGGGAGGCTGCAGGTAACCCAAAATCAAGTATATCGTGGTCTCCTCTCACATTCCAGCCCACTCAAGACTGAAGGTCCTGACATTGTTACTCTCCCCATCAAGTGCATTATCCTTCTTCTCAGCACCTCCGATAAGGAACCCCTTCTTGACACCGGTACCCAAACGGCCACCAGCAACAAGGTCCATCAAGTCAAACTCCTTGTCCCATTCCGTGGAGACGACCAGGAAGTGGGAATGGAAGCGCAACGAATCACCCGGGTAGGCAAGGTACTGACAGCCGAATCGAAGACCCGGGGAGAGGAAGTAACCCTCCGAATGTAGGTGGGCAAACAAAGGATAGGACGAAGGCACTTGGGGAAGCGGCATCAAATGCTCGGCAGCCGGCTTCGACGGAAGCGGTGGGTAGGATGTCGCAGGAGTTATTCCCAAGGCAGATTCGGGAGTAGTTGAGACATTTGACGAGGTCTCACTAGCTTCGGACTTTTGATTATCGGCAAAGAAATCAACAATTGGCTCTTCAGATTTATCTCCGGCAGAAGCCTTCTCAGCTGCCTTCTTCGCCTTCTTAGCGGCTAATTTCTGCAGGGACTTTTCTCTGTGTTGTTCTTTGCGACTATTCTGCAGCTGCATGGCTTTGAGACCTTGGGATTCTAGATCATGCAGGTACTTTTTGCGGTCTTCCTCCATGAGGGCCTTCATTCCCTGTTTTTGAGCTTTTACCTCGTCTACAATGCAAGCTACACCTTTCTCCACCAGTAACCTTGCCTCCTCGGGCATCAGCTCCAGGGGTAACCCCAAGAAAACATTTTGCTGGGGGATCTGCGGCAGAGTACCGGACAGGACTCCGCAAACATGATGCTCCCGCCTCAAATACGTGACTGCATCAATGGAGAAGAGAAAGTATTTCCCGGCGATATACGAGATCGGAACAGGAAGGGAGGGCTCCGAATTCATTTTAAAGGAGACACGCGGTCAGAAAACTAGTGATAAATCTGTGTCCATGATCGACGTTAGCTTGAGCTTCACAAATGTAGCTTTAACATCAAGACCAAAGATATAATGCAAATCATTTTCAATACGTTTCTCAATCACGTATGCTCGTTATGGAGATATAAATGAGCTTCAGGGGATTGACAGATTATAGTAGTTATATAATCATGCAAGAACAGTTGGTGTATCAAGACAAGGAGAATTGCAAGCTTACCATTAAATACAAGGCGACAGCACAGAAAAAGTAATGCTCTGGATTGTCCAGCAAGCCGAGAGCTGAAGTCGAGTCGACTGAGGTGGGTGAAGGTGGAAAAGAAAGAGAAAATTCGGTGGGCGAAGCTGAAGAAAAAGAAGCCCTGGCGGGCCGGCGCTATGCCTCTTTGGGTGGGTCATCTGCACGGATCACCTGGCTGCCTGAGGCAACACAAGCGGAGCTACGGGAAGAAGACCGTCTAAACCTAGATGTTATTTCACACCTTCTATCTACTCCCAGCTCGACAGCAACCTTTGCAGCCGCGATGAACTTCTTTCTGTTGCTCTTTCTAGTGTTCTTTGCACCTCTCCTGTTATTCTTGGGTAGGTAGCTCTGACCCCCTCCAATACTCGTGAGTTTTTGGTTAACCCTGTCGACTACCTAGGGTGGCTGGCGTTCTCATCGTGTCTCGGAAGTCGGTTTCGCTCCCAATTCCCCAGACCCGGTTTCGACGCATACGGAAGGGATTACCTTCGCACGATGGCCTCGTCTGGGCCTGCGATGTCCGAACAAATCGAGCTCGAGAACCTGGTGGAATCTGACCGCGAAGAATGATCGATGTTCCTTTTTCTACATTCGTGATAGCGTTTCTTTTCCAATTCAGAACTCGAGATCCGCTTTTTTCGGCATTCCACCCGCCGCAGCTCCGTCTTGCGCTTCCTTGTCTCCTTCAGCCGGCGGTAAACTGAACGGTTTAACCTCGAACCTTTTCCTGCTCAGTGTAAACGCCCAATCCTGGCCAATGTTTTGATCACTGCCTCCGCCACGTTCATGTAGCACGGGCAACCGGTGTACCTTGAGCATGCCCTGCGGTGGTTCCTCATGCGCTGTCGCAGCCCCCGAACTAGCAAGGGCATCTGCCGAATGAGGGAAAGGGCACAACTCGATAACTCCGTCGCTCAATATTTCCGACCATCGGACGAGACCGGAAGACCGCGGGAACAAGGATAATGGGATTGTGATCATAGCTGTCGCGCGCACCATGGGTGAGCTCAACAGAGCCTTGAGCGAATGAAGGAAAGGCAAGAGATTCTCAGGCTGGCAGACTTCCGGCGGGTATATTGTGGGATTCAGCAAGGACGGTAGGATAATGCGGTGGACCGTGTTGGGCGGACTGTGAGCGATGGCAGCCTGTAGTCGCTTGTGGACTGAGACAAACAAGGGCTCATTCGACGGCGCTAGCGGGATATAGGTTATGTTTGTGATGCCCGGATGGGTTAAACGCTTGGTAAGATCGAAGGCGTGGCAAAATGCCGGCTGCTCGGTCGGATTCCCGTTCTGTGCTTGACTTTGATCCCCCGAGGGCGCAGCAGGGGCTGTTTCAGTTAAAACCATGGCATTTCGCCAAACCATTGGGATGATATGGTCCATACCTCTTGATCCGGCCACTCCGGCTCCAAATTCGCCCAATCGTTCATATCTCCAGGCAATCTTCATCCGTTCTCCTTTGCGCTTATCCTGCTTATCATCAGCGGCCTCTGCAGGCCCAATCAGACCCGGGAGACTTCTACCCCATTGCTCGGGCATTCCGACAACGTGAACTTTCTGATCCTGCACAACACCTTCCGCCGCATAATATCGTAGCAATGCGCCCGCAAAATCCGTAGTCCCGTTTTCCTCAATCAATAATGTCTTTCCTATCGGAAGTCCACCATGTCCAGCGAGGAGATTATCCAGCGACGGCGCGCCTGTGGAAGTAGTTGGTCGTCCATCATCGGGCGAGGGTCGAATACCGGGATTCGATTCCGGCGTCGTTGTAGCTTGTTGCGGAGGCGCGGCGGGGTTCTGACCAGACGCACGATCAGCGCCGGTCGATATACCTATATTTCTCTTGCGAAAGGACATACTGAAACTGTCGTTCAAGAATTGGAAAGGTGACCGTCTGGCGATACTTTTTGCCCTTTTTTTCCAGGATGTGCTGCGGGGCAGGTGGGCAGCGGACCTTTCCTCCGGGCGGCAGTAAAAGCGGCGGTGAGTCAAAAAGCAAGCAGAAAAAAAAGCTGCGGCTTTGTCTTTTCCGTTCCCCATTCCCAGCATCAATCAATCTCTTGTCCACCACCCTCGTCGACCACTCCATCTTTCCGCCGTCCGTTTCGGCCCACCGATTTTGCGCCTCTCTGCCGGGCGGATTCTCATTACCTTCCTCTCCCTCTCACCGGATTGATTCACCAAGTCCATACACTCCACGGTCAGAACCATGTCGGACCCACTCCTCTTCGAAGACACCTTCACGATCACCGGGATCAACTCGCAGAAATACGACCGCGTCGCCCGACTGACCTGCACCTCGTCCGACACGGCCACCAGCTTCACGCTCGATGTCAACTCCGAACTGTACCCCTGTGTGGTTGGCGAGTCCGTCTCGATGGCTCTGGCGTCGACGCTCTCCCTCGACGGCAAGGAGGATAGCGGCACAAAGACGGGCTGGAGGGAAGTCGGAATGGGCGAGCAGACCCTGGCCAACGACTACGACTACGTCTGCCACGGCAAGGTTTATCGGTTCGAGGAGGGTTCGACGGCCGGAAACATGTATGTTTGAAATGCTGCTCTGTATGATGGTTGTTGGCGCAGAGGGCGCATCCCTTCCTCTCCCCATTCCATCCTCATGAAAAAGGAAAAATGAGCTGTGCTGATTGATTCCGCCTCGGTTGATATAGGGCTGTGTTCATTTCCTTCGGTGGATTGTTGCTTTACCTTGAAGGACCCTACAAGAAGCTGGCGCCTTTGAGAATCGACTACGTGTATCTGCTCATGAAGAAATAGAAAGGCAAAGTCCGTGCTGTTGTGAATAATCCGTTATATTCGATACTTGGGCATCTATGAAAACTGCCCTCTTTTGAAGACTCTGGTCCCCAGGACCATACTAAACAAAAGACCCTCCCGAAAGACAAAAACAAGAAACAAAGTGCACATTGGTTGGATGATTTGGTTGCAGCGTCGGCGTTCGATTGGTGACTGGCTGGGTAAACACAAAAAAAGAAAACCATCAAATAGAATATCAAATCTTTCTCTTAAAATGCATTTCCGATATGCTGTAATAATGTATCGTCATGAAGGGCACCTCATTCCACAAAGTGAGATGCCGTGGGGAACTCCAACCGGCGATGCATCTTCGCTACGATCTCCAGGAAATCAGGCTCGTTCTCGGCCGTCAGAATGCCGTGGCGGATGAAGAAGTCGATCAACACCACCGCGCAATTCGGCTTGAACTCGCCATTCGCCAACGCCCTCTTAGTCTCGTCCACCGTGTATAGGTAAAATGCCTCCACCTCATCATCGCAAGGCTTGGGAATGACCTCCGTCCCGAGCTTGATATCATAAACGTACTCCACCTCAGGCTGTGAGAGGTCTGTTTCCCCGCCCGCGCGCGGGTCCCGCACATAGATATACGAGACACAGCCGGCGGCAGTCGCGTTCGCCCGGACAACGTCCTCCGGCAGGGAAGCCTCCTCCATGGCCTCGCGCACTAGACACTCGTACGGTTTCTCGCCCGTGCTCATCCCGCCCGCCACGGTATTATCCAACATGGCGGGGTACGTCTGCTTGGTGCGCGAGCGTCTGGGTACCCAGATCCGGAGACCTTGTTCATCCTCCACATAGCAGGTGCAGTGAATGCCGTACGACACAATACCGAACAGCGGACTCGCGGAGCGCTCTATCTCGAGCAGGAATTGGCCTCCCGGACCGAACACCGGGTACATCTCGTTGCGCCAGCCCTTGAGGATCTGGAAGGTGTCGCGCTTGACGGCCTCGTCGAGCGTCTTGGCGACGAGCTGTGTGCGGAGGGCTGGGGTGGCATCGGCCGGCGTGGTCAGGGTCACGGTCTGCTGGGTTGAGTCGACGGCCCAGCTGTCTTCGGGCCAGTAGAATTTCTCCGCGACGGACTTGACGATGTACCCGAGGACTGCGTCGCAGCCATTTACGCGGAATTGGTAGAAGTTTTTCATGTGGGTGGCGTAGAAGGCTGGGTCATCTTGGTGGTATGGGAATCTATTTGGGGGAGTCAATAGGATTAGATAGGTATTTGGCTTCACATGGAGGGGTGACAGGAGTAGAGAAAAGTTACTTGTCGCATTCGTTGACCAGGTCGAGGTTCGATTTCACCATCGTGTCAGTGTGAGTGTGTATACGCAAGTAGGAGAGAGAATGACAATGCTAGAATAACCTCTGGACAGTAATAATATATACGGAGTACGGAAGTAAATCCAACTGCGCCCCTCCAAGCCGCAACGGGGAGGACGCCTTGCCGCTCAGGCCCACCAACCCTTATCGATAAGGGCATTTCGTCACTGCCGTCTTTCTGCCGGATTCCATCATCGAAATTCTGGATAGCTTCCCGGTCTTTGTTGCTGCGCTTCGGCTTCTTATATCACTGACGTCAAGTCGCTTTGACTATAAACCGTTGACACTACCATATACCCTATATATTTTACGCGCTGGATGCCATTGACCCGACTCGCATTCCTCTGATCTCCATTCTTCCCACCCCCTCTCTCTCCCCGCCTGACAGAAAATCTCCGCCATGTTCTCCGTCATTGTGCCCGGTAGGCCCTGTCTCACCGACATCGTCGCAGTTGACGCACAGCCCAACGGCCAAGCTACCAAGTTTGCCTTCACCTTCCCCCTGGAACCCTCCTTCACCGAACTCGTCGTGTTCTTCCTCCCCGGCACCGTCCTGCCCCAGGACAGCGCAGCCGCCATCTACGTGCAATTCCCCGACGCCAACCCACCGCCCACGGGGCCCGAGTTCCGCTTCATCGGCGCGCTCGCGAACGAGAAGCCCTCGTCCGTCTTCAAAGTGCAGCCACCGCCGTCGCAGCCGCGCCGCACAGAGGCCCAGGAGGAAGATGAGATGCTAGACGCAGGCGCAGCGGGTACGGCAGGGGGCGCAGCACCGGGCACCACGGGAATGGTGACGTTAGGGATTTCAATCGAGCCGGTGCAGACGGTTGCGCCGCAGTTGGCTGCACTGGAGGCGGAGGGCTCGGGCGTGGGCCCGTCAACGGACCTCGTGCGACAGACGAGGCAGCAGAAAGAGGTGACGACGAAGGTGCTGGCGCAGCGCATCATCGGCAACGCGTTTAACTTCCTGGCGAGTTTTGCCTCGTCAGATCAGGATGCCGTGCCGCTGAAGTCCTTCCGCGATTGGTGGGCGAAGTTCGAGCGCAAGATTGATATGGACCCGACGTTTTTAGAACGTGAGGATCCCAGTGCGTCCGGGTAATGGGTTGTCGGATTAGGGCGACCTTGGCTGGTTATATGGTGTACTTTGAGGGAAGTGAGCTATCTCCCGATGCATTTGTGGGTATGTTTTGTTTGGCTTAGCTCGTCGTATTGTATGTTTTTGTTTGATCTAGTTCTGATCTTCCTTAGGAGATGTTCGTTTATTGTCTATCCCCGAAATGAGCTTTGAGCGCAAGCATCATAGGAGCATTTATAATATATACATCTAAAGCGTGTCTCATCTATATAATTCATCAATCTATCGCCTATACGTAAGTGTAAACAGAGACGGAAGATTGTTATGTACATTCTTGCCGTTATCCGTTGTCCAACGCCCATGACCTATAGCCTATAACCTATTCCTCAAGCAAAAAGTTCAAAAAGGTCGCACCAATCGCAACCCCGTCATGCTCATTCTTCGCTCTCTCCAAGGCATCCTCAGTCTGCTCCTTGGAGAAAACCCCCGCCTTGCCCCGCAGAGTGACAACCTCGGTGACGATCTCCTCGGTGAACTCGGGATGCCCTTGGACGGTGACAAATCGACCGGGCAGATACATGCCCTGCACCGCACATCGGGGTGACGAGCCAAGAGCAATGACACCAGGGGGGTACTCAAAGACGATATCCTGATGCATTTGTTGGATGCGCTAAATTTGGGAGAAAAGCACTGTCAGCTCGTTCGTCCAGGGGGGTGTGAGACAGGGGATTGGGCGTCGGTCTTTACGAGTTTATCCCTGCCAAAAAGTTTCTTGCCCTGATCGGTCAGGTCCATGTCGCAAACGGCAATCTCCCAGCCGGCATCACTCCGACCGACCTTGACGCCCAGCGCGCGTCCGATGATCTGATGCCCAAAGCAGATTCCGAGGATTTTGATGCAGTTGTCCTGAAGAGCGGATTTGGTGTATTCGACAAGCTTGAGGATCCAGGGATCACTGTCAAAGGAGTTGTGTTCTGGGATGGCCTATTAGCTTAGAATTTGGAAGCCACGCCACACGCGAAAGGGTTAAGGCACCCACTCGATCCCGTCAACAGAAGCGCATCTACATCCTTTAGGTTGGGATACACTTGAGCGGTCACTACATCCCAGCGTGTGATCTCGAGACCAGAGTCTGGGTCCAGCCGGTCTGGTCGATCCAAAGCTTTGGCACTGGCGCGGAGGAGCGATGAGAAAACCCCATAGTAGCCGTCATATTTCCTGTTGATTTTATCTACTGGGGTGTCGCATTCCAGGATGGCAATTCGGAGAGGGGCCATAGTGAGACAGCGGGGAGGAAGGAAGGAAGTGTATACAGCCAACGCACTCCCGGATTCAAACAGACAATGTTGAAGGTGTGAATCATTCGGAATACCTCACAGTTCACTTCGTTATCGTCGGAGGCAATCGCCGATCAGCCCCGCCACCGCCCTGATTTGTCATCACGCAACTACATGCCTTGTCCCAGTAACGACCATTGACTACTTCACTTCTCAATCTGTAGATCTGTTTCATCTACTGCATGGCAGTGGCTTATTTACCTTTACGACTACTTGGACCCTCAAAGTGAGAAGAGACTTCCGTACCTGACGGATGGTCTTGCCTTGTTTGCCCGCTTCATCAGCCCTAAATGACTTGACATTCGCAGACATGCCCACGTGTCTCTGGTCTGCAATGTAGCCTTGGCTGTAATATGACAGGAACACCAAACTAGGTGTTTTCATGTCTTCATCTACCTTATTTGGCTATCAAACAGCTCCTTCTAGCGGTTTGCCGACAGAGAAGGTCCTAAGATGTGACTTTCCCGCACACCGAAGGAGATTCTCATCTCATCTTCCTGATTGAATGGGCATGTTTCTGCGAGCAATACGTGTCTTTCATTCTGCCTAAACTGGTTTCGGGGATTGAATGCGCCGGATTCATCTCGTTGGGTTGCGCCGTACGGCAGCTATACCGGTCTATACTATACCTCTCAATTGACCGGTCTTTCACACGGACGGACTGACCTTGCCCTTGCTTAGCGATGTCAATCTCCGAAATACTGAAGTAAACCTAGCTCCCTGGAAGTTAAAATTACAAACCCGACAGGAAATCTCGTATTCCAGCAAGGATAGAGGCATCTTGGCGCTTCATCTACACAGGATAACAAGCGTATGGGTGGGCGGATGTTATATCCGCTTTCGCCTCCTAGATACGAAATGGTCTCAGCCATATTGACCAGATGTCAGTTACCGACCGTTTTCCCTGTCTGCTCCCCGATGATGCTCGTTGGATGCTCTGTCGATCTCAGAGATGATATGGGCATGATATAGGGCCAAGGCTATCCAACAAACGCCGGAAAGCCTACGTGGCTTGGTGACTTTCCAATTACTTCCGATCCGATCGACCCAATCTAGATTTTTCCTGGTCGGAATCCCAGAGGCATGTATCCCGCGGCGAGACATCGCGAGACCTCCGACAAAAAGCTCTCAATCTAATTTGCTAGATTAGGAAACAGGTGAGCCCGTCAGTCCCAAATTGGAGAACTTTTCTAAAGGCGAGTCGTACACACTACTACAATTTCATCGAAATATTCGTCAGTGGAAGTGGTGATTCATGAAGCGGTGTGGATGACGGAGAGAAGTTGAGACATCAAGAACCTAACCCGGGTGACTATTCGTTATGACTATCTTCCGATGAGATAACCGTCCGACCTACCACACCTTGGATGAATCAGGGGAGTCAAATCCTCGTGTAGGTAACAAGAAAAAGAGCGGTCAACTCATCTGATTCTAGAAGTCATTCGTGAAGGCGTATGTTCTAGAAGACAAGTAAAGTTTCGTAGGCGATCGCACCTAGCCATGTCTGCCACGAGATCGGACACGAACAGGCACCGAAATATCGCATAGGAAACCAGAAACTTTACGAGAGCTCAATGCCCCAGAAAATTATTATAAAGCCAAGGTCGAGCTCGCAGAGCTATCCAGGAATCAACCCCCTCCCATATCATAAACATGTCGGCACTCAACGCTAGAATAACAGACCTAGCGGATGACCTTCGGGTGCTTCACAGGCACCAGGCTTTTAGAAGCCAGAATCGAAGAACACGCCAAGCGTTCGACAGATTACCGGATCTTGCCAGGGTCAGAGTGGCCCTTGTAGGGCAAAACGCCCTTACAGAACCGGGGACATCGCGCGAGGATTCTCAGGTACGATATCCGATCTTTCACCTGAACGTGGTTAAATGCTGACAGCTTGCCATAGAGCATAGATGTTATGGTTGAGATCGAGGGATCAACACGACCCCTAGAAGACGCCATGCATCTCATTCGCCATAAATATATACCGGATCTTTGTGGGGAAATTCCTGTAGCTGCAACAAGCAGTTATCGTGGATGTCAAGGGACGAATGAGCCGGAAATTCGCGAGGAATTTTCGCAGGTTCGGAACCTGGCAGTGGCCACCTCGCTGGCCTCTCCCTCTACTACTTCGACTATCACTCCTTCTGGTTCCCTCCGTCTCCACCGCTCTCATTATCATCAGCTTAAGGAAGAACGGGAATGGTGTTGAGGACTTGGTGAGCAACAGAAACGGGGACGTGGTCATAAATATCTTTGGCTAGTCTCATACTTTGAGTTCCCTTTCTCTCTCGGTTCTGTTCATTTCTCTATTCTTTCTGTTTTTTATTTTCTTTTTTTTGCTTTTCATTTTTCTCTTTCTATTCCTTCTCCCAAAACTCAAGCTACCAAACAAAAAAGAAAAATCAATTTTCTGGGTAGCTGAAATCGCGCGCTGTATATAGAGATGGTAAACATCCCCCCGGGGCTTGGTGAGCCCAAACGAATGGCGACTTGGAACTCTAGCATCCCGGTTTCCAGGCCCACGAAACCGACATTCTTAGGAGCTTTCCCTCTTCAGCGAGCTGTTTGCCCAATCTCTCTACACGCCTGTCATACTCGTCGTAATCTTCCACTTCAGTCGCAGCGTTGTAAGACATCCACAAAGGCTTAGTATATTTATCGAAGCGATCGTAATTGGTGATATCCAGGAGGGGGTCATCTTTAAGAAGCGGAATCGACTCCTAGATCCATGGCACGACACAGTTGGACTTGAAGAATGTCATGTCGGCACCTGGACCCATCAGCTCGCTGTCTCGGGCATGGTGATAAATGAGAGATTCCACATAGGCAGTAGGAGTGAGCATTAGGACCGGCGGGTCTGTCGGGTTGAAGCGGGTTCGACGGTACGGGGGGTAACCGGGCAGCCCAGGATCACTTGTCAGCATGAAATGGGACCTATAAAAGGGGTCACCCGACAGTGCCTGCTTGGTGTAATGGGATGGCAGCCACCATAGGTATTGAGACTGCAAAAATAGGGAGATTTGCAGGCGGTCGCTGACTGCCATCACTTTGCCTTGGGCGATGTGGCAATTCCGAAAGCAGTACTTGGGGCAGCGGTTCCTGAATAGAAATTTCTTGTGGACCTCGTAATCTCCCCCCCCCCGACAAGTCGAAGGTGCATCTGCATTGGTACGTCTCGTCAGCTGGAGTGTCGTCCAACCCTAAGGCGCGCGGCACCTCAATTGCTTTGTCCATGCACTCATCCGGAATCACAACCCGAACGTCCTTATTTTGCCCTTCTTGTCCCAGAAGCTCCATGTACTGTCCGCTCCCGTGCAAGAGGCAGGAACGCCATTCGACTGAAGGATATACGACATATTCGTCGCGGGCTTAACTAAACCATCTGCCTTCTTGTACTGATACTGGGGCAATTGAAGAGGCATTTTGATAACACAAACTCTTGCAGAGTGGAATTGTTCGCGATTGTTTGGAAAGAGGGAATTGGATTGCTCTGGATTGCTCTGGATTATGAACGGAGAACACAGGAGCATGCAGGTCTATTTATAACCTATACTCTGCCAGGCTCTCTGCAGTGGATGCTGGAAGAGATATTTAGAAGCCGCTTTCAATCGAGAATCTCTCCCAGAATGTCACAAAGAGATCATTCAAGCTTTTAAAAAATCGCAGTTATAGTTTGGTTCTCGCAACGCGGGCTCTAAGAGGGCCGGATGAACACAAAGAATCCAGACACATCAGGTTAGGCAGTCTTGGGCCGCACACAAAGATTTATCCTATACATATCCGCTTCCATTAGTCTCTCATTGGGTCTTTCCTCTAGTGTCTGAGTTCGCAAAAGGGACTAGATCGTACTCAAACGCTACCTGATACCGTGTGTGTTGAACGGATCCTTCGCGGTTCTGGTGGCGCTGATGGACTCGTAGGTGTATCTCATGAGCGAGCCCGACCAGTTAAAATCTAATTTGTATGCGAATTCAAATTCTCTGTTCATTCAGCAGTAAGACGACGGCGGATGGCTTCAAGCAGAAGAAACATAGACATTGCATGATACGACTTGCTTTTTTTTTTTTTTCTTTTTTTCTTTTTTTTTTCTCTCGCATGGACTAGTAGGTCCAATAGTTTGTCGAAGACGAGACAGGATTCAGGACTAGACTGGAAAAGGCCTCTGTGTTAAATAGGCATTTCTATGATGAAAGGTAGCAGTCTAAACTACTTGGTACGCCTTGTATATCCCCAGCGAGACAGATGCTGAGGGCATACCTGTAACCTGAGACTCCACAGATAAACTCCGTAGGGGAATTCGTATCACGGGTCGACCTTTTTCATTTAGTTTCTGTTCAAAAACTTGTCTCTGAGCACCGGATACGAAAAGTCGACGAGAATTCCTTGTCACTTCATCAAATCATTCTAACCTACAGAATCACGATACTAAGTGGATTCTAGTGCGAGGCGAACCGAGTCACGGCGGACCAGGCCGAACGTTCAAGACCATTTCATCCCCACACCACTTAACCGACACTATCATGATTGGCCCTTGGCGGCTGCTACAGTCTTGGAACTGTCGGCGATCTGCCATAGTAACATGGAAAATAGCACGCTATCACGAGATACTTCTAAGCACGCAATTTGTCGCATGAATGAGATCTTGGCTAGCAGAAAATTCAAGAGAAAGAAGAGAGCCAATATAACCACCATGGATACTCCTTGTCGCAGATCTGGATCCCTCAAACGTCGACCACTGCACGAGGAAATCCGCCCCGAGGATCGGTCTATCGGTCTATCCTGCCTTCGAAATCAAGGTTCGTCATGGCTGGTCAACAAGCCTCCGTCTCGGTCTCGTCCGACAACACGCCGGAACACAATGAAAAGAAAGTATGGCATCACAGTACGCTTTTCAATGCGTTTATTATTGGAGGGGTGGGCTTTATGGCCCCGGGTCTGTGGAATGCCATGAGTTCCTTGGGTGCGGGCGGTGCGCAATCGCCGTATTTGATTAATGCCGCCAATGCACTGGTGTTTGGTCTCAGTGAGTCTCAGTGAAGTTTCTGGCCCGACAGTGATTGCCTTCAGTACTCTACGCAAACGTTTGAACCCGGCACTAATGTACTTTTGTTAGTGGGCTTTCTATGTCTCTTTGGCGGTCCCATTGCGAACCGGATTGGATTGAACTGGACACTTTTACTAGGAGCGGTTGGGTATCCGATCTATTCGTACGTTGATTCAGAGACTTTCGGACTCGATCTCAGGACATGTCGCTTACGCTTCATTTTCCAGGGCTGCCCTATATACCAACAACCGCTATGTAAACAACCCTATCCGATGACGCATCTCAGACTCTGCTAACACTGATACTAGGGAAATGTGTGGTTTGTGTTGGTTGGATCTGTTGCATGCGGGTTATCGTAAGTGATCACAATTTCGGCCGAATATCATAAGCATAGACTTACCGAGCCAGAGCGGGTCTTTTCTGGGCTTCCGAAGGTGCTGTAGCTCTTGGATATCCAGAGCCAGGCAAACGAGGCAGATATATGAAGTAAGTTTCGACCTCCAAGAATATCCTATCAAGTACCAGTGTGGCTGACTCGAATAGCATCTGGCTATGGTTCCGTACCGGTGGCCCATTGGTCGGCGGAGCCATTCTTCTTGCTCTCAACCAGTACGTTTCTCGCCATGAAATCGCAAAAAGATCGAGTCTATTTGCTAATCTAAAGCAGCTCTGCTGATGCCAAGAGCAAGGGCAAAGTCGGGTCGGGTATGTTCAACCTATTGAAAATCCGAACATAAAAGCCCGTTCGCTAAGTCGTTCACAGAGTCATATCTCATATTCGTCGCCTTGCAATGTCTCGCAACTCCCCTAGCAATATTTCTATCACCACCTGAGAAAGTTCAGCGGAGCGACGGAAGTAAAGTGAAAATCGTTGTTCAGAAGTCGTGGCGCGCAGAGATGCTGGAGCTGTGGAAACTCTCGCGCCGCAAAGAAGTAAGCTTTGATCTATCTTGGATGCCTGGCCATTTGGCTAACCGTGCTTTACATGTAGGTCGCCTTGCTGCTGCCGGTGTTCTGGGCAGCGTACTTCAATCAATACTCGTCAAGTACGTCTTCGTGTTCGTTTGTTGATTCGATCTGCTAACCCAACGCAAGACTTTCAAACTTACTACTTTGGCGTTCGAGCTCGCGCTTTGATTGGATTCGTCAGTAAGTACTATCTTATCTAACGTTCAATACGAAATGCAAGCTCTTGACTGATCTAATACAAGGCAATTTCTCCAACCTTATCTCCTCGGGGATAATCAGTCGATTTCTGGATTACAAGGGATTGTCGGTTAAGAAGCGCATCACGTTTGGGTAGGAGCCAGAATACAGATCCAAATCCCCAAAAATTAATGAACTTCTAGTTTCTACTATGTGATCATCATTCACATCATCGCTTGGGTCTACGCTTGGGTCATCCAAGAAAAATATACTGCCAACCCTCCGTCTTACGACTGGAGTGACAAGGGTTTCGTAGAGGGATTTTTTGTCCTTATGCTATGGAGTATGTCTCCCCAGCCCTTAATCATGCAATATATCTAACTCTCGAAATATATAGGTTTCTCTCAACAGGGCTTGCAGAATTGGCTTTACTATCTTCTATCCACAATGACGGATAACATTTCCGAATTATGTATGATCGCTTTTCACCAACCTACATGTCTTGCCATCTGCTAACCATCTCTAGCCCGTTTCTCTGGCATTCTCCGCGGCCAGGAAAGTTTCTCACAGGCCATTTCCTTCGGCATCAATACGCGCAACTGGCATGGAGGAAGAGTTCCTCTTGCGATCAACACGATTCTTTTGGGTATGTTCATCTCACTCTATCGCCTCCACGACCTGCAGCAGGTTCTAATCCTTGTGCTTTTTCTTAGTCCTCGCGGTGTTCCCTACCTGGCTGGTCGTAAAGAGTCATAACCCAATTGAACACGATAAGACGGCACCCCAGGAGGTCCAAGATGAAGAGCAGGGCGTTGTAAAAGATGGTACGGCAGAGGCTTCGGACAAGGGAGGCTACGTTATCGGGGAGACTTCTACAACGAAATAACCGGCTGAATGCATGGCAGCTGGTATAGGGAGGATTTTAGGCGGGTTTGATATTCGTGACATTCTGGTAATGATCATCGGATTTATAGAATACATCCGCGTATAAGGCAGAAATATCACGAGAATATGCCCTCGACAAAATTTATGTAGTAAAAGCGCCAAAGACCCTCATCGCTACGACCAATCTTGAGGCTCGTTGAGGCGTCTAGGCTATATAGACCCCTTAAGCCGGAGATTCGAGGTTGGATTTAGATTCTTCTCCTAATCCTTAATCATCCTTTCTAGCTAGTTAAGCTTCTATATTCACCATAGGTAAAGAGATAAGAAAAGCAGAAGAAAAAATCACCTGACCCCACCAACCCTTCATCTCGAGAGAGCTCCCCCTTCAATCAAGCTATAACCACTAAAAAAAAGAAAAACGAAAATCAAACCCAGAAAAAGAAAGGAAAACCCAGTCCGATGACCCATCCCACCACGCCAGGGGAAAAATCTCACGGTTCACATCCGCGTTATCCATCAAACGAGGCAGTAAACTGCATGCGAGGGCTCTAGGTCCGATGACACAATGTTAGCTTGTTCTGATCAATCAGCGATGTGGATTCCCATTTCTACGGGAAGCGCGCGTGGTTGGACCAAATCCACGTCCGATGCAGCTTTAGTCTCGCGGTGGGCTGAAGGGCAGGTGGCTTTTTAGCGTCCTGCTTAGTGCCTGGTCTGTGAGGAGAGGGAGAGGGGTTGGAGTTGGGGGACTTTTTTTTTTCTGTCTGGGTTTTGTGAACCTGGATGGTTGATTTACATGAGGCTTTTCAATCAAGAGAAAGGTGAATTGATTGCGAGATTCTCAATAATACGAATATCTGAACGGATTATCCTGATTTTTGCTCCGTAATAGGTATGATCATGCTAGGGACACTGGTTTTTCACCCCGGCAAAAGCCCAGCAAGTGGATCCGCAAATATCATCACAGTGGAATCGAGTCATACTCCAGTACGCTGCATTAGCGTCGTTCTGTCGGTATATCTTCGTCGCTCTATCAATTTCTTTGCTTTCTTCTTGTTCCTGTTCCCGTTGGGTGAGACACAATACAAAAGTTTTTGGGGGCTCATTTCTTTGGATTGTTTATTTTCTGGCGAGTTTCTCCTGGCTCGGGGTGATTGTTTAGGCATAAAATTCTTTCGCTCCCTTACCTTCTCCTCTCTAATCTCCACAAACCGCTCCCTCCCACCGCTCAGGAATGCCGGGAACCTCACGGGAGCCTCGGGGCGCTGCTATCAACGAGTCAACCCCGCTGCTGAACAATAATTCTCCCGATTTACTCTCATATTCTGGCGAAGTCAACGCCGCGACAGATAATGGATCGTCCACCATATTGTCGTCGGACGATGACCCCACTCTCCTCAGTCTCTCTCGGGTCAATTCGCTCCCTCAAGGCTTAGAAATCGAACCGAATCTCGAGCGCGTCACCTCAATCACGAAGCCTACACCGACTGATGCAGAGGGGAGCGCCCCGAAGGAAACCACCGGTTATGCATCGCGTTTTATAAACGTCTCGCCGGTGAGGTTTTGGCTGATCTTCTCGGGCATCTTACTGGGCTATGTCATAGGCTTCTTTGACTCAACCTTGATGGCCTCCAGTCACCCAGTGATTACGTCACATTTTCACGCTTCAAATGCAGCCTCGTGGTTGTCCACAGCGTTTCTGTTGACGTCGACTGCGTTCCTGCCTCTGTTCGGACGGGTCTCCGATACGTTCGGCCGGAAGCCCGTGTATTTGTTCGCGATCGCCATCTTCTTTCTTACCACCGCCTGGTGTGGGTCCGCCCAGAGCATCGGGAGCTTCATTGCAGCCCGCGCCTTTTGCGGACTTGGAGCCGGCGGGGTCTTTTCCATGGGAATGATCCTGTCCAGCGACTTGGTCCGCATTGAATATCGCGGTGTCTACCAGTCCTACATCAACCTATTCCTCGGAGTTGGGGGCTGTTTGGGTCTCGCCTTTGGTGGATATCTGTGCGATCAGGTAGGATGGAGAGGTGCGTTCTACGTCCAACTGCCCTTTATCCTCGTCTATTTTATCGTCGCAGCGTGGACTACCCCGACCGACCTGGGCGTGAAGACGGCCAGGGCCGAGCGCAAGTCGTTCCGGCAATTGATCAAGCAGCTTGACCTGTTAGGTTCGTTGATCTTGGTCCTGGGGGTCACGGCATTGATCATGGGCCTCAATCTGGGCGGCAACGTGTACAGCTGGACGCATCCCGTCGTCATCACGTCCTTGGTCCTGGCCGTGGTCTTGGCCGCCGTCTTTGTGCGCTACGAACGCAACGTGGAGCGCGCCGTGATGCCGATCTCGTTCCTGTCGCGGCAGCCTCGCGCGAACCTGATCTTTGGAAACTTTTTCGGGTCCATCGCAGTCAATACCATGGTATTCAACGCGCCGTTGTATTTCCAGGCCGTCAAGCTGGCGACCCCGACGGAATCGGGACTTCGGTTGGTAGCGGCCACGCTTGCCGTCACCGTCTCCAGCGTCTCGACTGGCTTTTTGATCACCTGGTCGAAACGCCTGAAGCCGACGGTTATTATTGGAGACGTCTTTCTCTTCCTCGGCGGTTGCGCTGCGGCTTCCATGAATGTAGGCACGCCCGATGCAATTGCCATGATCTGCGTTGCCCTCTGCAGTCTCGGGCAAGGGTTTTCCTTCCCATCATTGATGGTCTCCGTGCTCGCGACCAGCGAGCCCGACGAGCAGGCCGTGGCGACGACAACCCTGGGCTTATGGCGGAACCTAGGATCCGTGATGGGCGTGGCCACCAGCAGCTGGATCTTCCAGAACACGCTGATCTACCATCTCGATCGTATGGTCACCGGACCGGAGAAAGACCACATCATCTTCCTTGTGCGCAAGTCCGTCCAGGCCGTCGCCACGCTGGACCCGACCCACCAACAAGAAGGTATGTTTGTTTTCTCATTGTTGCGGGGAATCCCTTTCATGGATGGGGCGCGTGTGAGTCATGTTTGCTAACAAATGTGCAGTGATTGGAGCGTATGCGGCCGCCCTTCGTGTAACCTTCGGCTCTGCGGCACTCTGGGGCGCAATGATGCTGCTCATGCACTTTCGACTCCGGTTGCCTCGACTAGGCAGTAAGGCTTAAATGGCCGACTAGTGTTTCCTGTTACTCTGCCATGATGTGTTTACTGTAAGTGGTAGCTTTCTTCAGTTTTCCCAGTAGGCACTAGTAGTGCAGCAAGGGCATTCGTTTAAAGCATTTTGCATACGGCATACAAGATCTTATACGATCTAGACAAAAGTTAGAGATATTTTCGGCCATAACATTATCAAGAATGACTACGATGTATATACACTATTGAATGATAAAAGTTCTTTGTCAACATTCTAGGCTTGTTAGTTGTATGTTATAGAATTAGAATCTTTTATCTGATCCGACGAAAGCCGCTAGACTCTTCCTGGTTTAGCCGGCCGGCATCGGGATTCCCCGCGCGACTCAACTTTCCTTTCTCACGCCTCAAGTTTGCTTATCGGACATTCAACAGCCTCTTCTACACTTCGCTCTGTTCGATCTCAAGGTGTCGATTGACATTTACTGTCTTTGATTTCTGTGAGTGATTCCGTTGGTCATATCGTTTCTTCAACCGTGGCATCACCACAGCTGTGCTAACCGGACTTTCTCCAAGGTTCGACCCCCTTCATCGTCCTTCAATGACCGCATTGATTAAACGCTATACTCCCATTGTTTCTTCTCGTCGCTATTCCTCCATCGACTCCTTTGTACCTCTTCATTCTTCCGCATACGGATCTCCCACCCAGCCAGCGGAGCTTCTTGCGACAGATAGGACATCCCCGGTCGTCAAGATGCGCAAGCATCATAGCTTAAAGGGCTGATTGCGAGGCATACAACCAAGAAACTCGGGGTTCTAGATATCTTATCGCCTGAGGACAGGCTAGTGCAATCCACCATGACGTCTGCCGTGGAGGACCACGTCTTCCCCGCCATGGACCTGGACATCGCCAGAGACCTGCTCGGCGCAGGGGACATCCTCGGCCTAGAGACATCGAACGACAACGTCTCGTTATCGGACAATCCCGCAGGGGACAGCAATACTCGCGAGGCCGAGGAAGACGACATCCCGACACCAAACAGCGGGTCGTTGAGCGCGTCACGCACCCCCGGCAGCGACACCCCGCGACGACGGCGCCGCGAGGCCGTGATCCGGAAGTCCCGACGCGTGCGCACCGGCTGTCTGACCTGTCGCGAGCGGCACCTGAAATGCGACGAGGCGCTGCATCGGTGTCAGAACTGTCGGAAATCAGGCCGGGTGTGTCGCCGCGGTGTGAGGCTTAATTTCATCGATACGCAGGTCGTCGCCCCGCCTCATGATCTGACCCCCTCTCCGGGGCATCGAGTCACGTTCCGGGACGAGTCGAGGCATATAGCGTCGGAGTATGTGGGCGGGTTTGAAAGATATCCTCCCCCGACGGTGGAGCCGCAGTTGGACACGGGGAGTCTGTTGAGCCCGCCGTTGGCCTCGCGATATAATACGACGGGGGTTTCGGGGAGATCAGGCTCGGGGATGGGTCAGGCTGAGGGACTCGGTTACTCGCCGAATGGTCGTTCGGTTTCGACGCCTCAGTTGCTGCCTGATCGTAGCGCGTCTTTTGCGCCCTTCAAATCGGCCAAGCAGGGGCGAATGGGGCCTAGTAATGCCTGTTTGAGTAATCCGGAGGAGGTGTTTTTGGTGCAGACCTTCGTCGAGGAGGTGGGACCGTGGATAGATTCGATGGATGAAATGAAGCACGTAAGTCGTTCAGGCCGGTCTAAGCTGCCTTGGCTAACCTTCAAAGTTTACGAATATCCTGCCGTTCCATGCGCTGGAGGAACCGATGCTTCTCAAGGCGTTCATGGCCTGTGGTGCTCGCCATCTGTTCCAGGTGAACCCTTCGTATGGCGAGGGGAAGGCCTCGTATTTCCATGACTTGGCATCGCAGGATCTTCTAGGCTTGCTGCAGGACCCAGATCGCGATTCTGTCCTGTGTGCGACGGCGGCTGTTATATTGAATATCTACGAATCGATGACCTCCAGGTCGATGATATCGGTCCATGGAATGAACCACATCGCCGGCGCAAGGGCCCTGATCAAGGAAAATCGATGGGAGGCAACAAGCCCAGGTCTCGGCGGGGCATGCTTCTGGCTGAACGTCAGCATGGAGCTGCTCAGCTGTCTACACTTCAACTGGACATTAGCCTGGGACCCCGACGCCTGGGGTGTCGACATGAACATGGAGCAAACGCAGTCCAGTGTGGCGGGGAACGAGGAACTCTGGACCCACCGCATGGTCTACATCTGCGCGAAGGTCGCGAACTTCCGGTCGACCTTCTCGCACGTCCACGGTCTAGATCACTCGACCGCGCAGATCGACCAATGGTATCAGGACTGGTGCACGTACAACGAGTGGTGCGACCAATGGGCAAATGCCGTGCCACGCTCCATGACGCCGCTTGGCTACCTGCAGCCCTGGCAGACGAATTCGAAATCCGTTTTCCCGGAGATTTGGTACGTGTGTTTCTTTCGTAGGATTGAAAACTTGCCGTTCTAACCGGTGATAACTAGGCTCATCAAGCGATCGTCCATCATCGCCCGTCTCTTCTACCATACCGCTCGCATCTTGTTGACGAAGATCCATCCACTAGAGTCGGAATTCAGCCCCGAGATGCAAAGCCTACAGCAGAGTCATGCGCACGATATCTGCGGGATCGTAGCACATACGAAAGACCGGTACGTTCCTCCCTCCCTCCACCCTTCCCCAAGAATCCAACTAACTCACGAGCCCATCTCCCAGCGGAATCTCCACCCTCTGCACCCGCTTCCTCTTCATCGCCGCATCCTGCCTCGCCACGCGCGACGCGCAGGACGAAATCCTCAACACAATCGACCGCATCAAGGAGAATGGCTGCCGCGTCGAACACCTCAAAGACGAGCTACAAGAGGCGTGGGGCTGGACCCTGCACTCTCATAGCCATAGCCACGACGTCGCTGTTGGAGTCGAAGTCGACAGTCTGTTCGGCGATCACGCATTCAACCCGGATCCGGATCCGTCGTCGTCGATCTTGAAAATGCATCCTGCGGTCGTGTCAAATCCACTCCTCGCGTTCGCAGACTTTGAGCTGGAGAATCATCCGTACCAGGGGTTTTATGTTAAGCCGCGGGTGCAGTAAGGTGTGGGACTCTGGGTTGGATCTGGCGTGGGGGATGTATTTATATATCTCTGTGTGTATATATATATATATATGATACGGCTGTCATGGGTGGCGTTTGGGCTTTTTGTGTCTTGTATAGGTTGTTGCTATGATACCATAATGTATGTGCTTTTGATTTGGTCGAGGGTGATGAAGAACTGAGATAGATTGGTTAGAACATAACTCAGTATTTACCATATATCTGGATTAAAAAGCCACCGGGCTAATTACAATCACCAAGAAAGAAACAGAGACACTCGAAAATTTATATATTCTAAACGCCTCGCCCTTTGTACTGTACATCTGGCTGGTATGTAGCACGACCCGTAAAGCAATGCCAAGACATCCGCCCAAGATCTTCCCGTCTGCTTCCATCCCTCTCTCTCTTCCATTCCAATATCAAACTACCAACCAGAAAATCAAACCCCTCTCCCTGATTTTAGTCAAAAACATCTATCCGCAATCTACCACTCCCCAATAACAGGGGAAAAAAAAAAAATCAATGAATCACCCCCCTCTAACACCAACATACATTCTCCGCGGCCACACATCCGCCATCCACAGCCTCCACATCTTCCAGTCCAATCTCCGTCTGATATCCGCCGACGCCGACGGATGGATCGTTGTCTGGGAATTAGTTTCGAAACGTCCTGTCGCGGTATGGAAGGGTCATGAGGGGGCGATTCTTCAGGTGAGGGCGTACTGTGTAGCTGGAGAGGGGGTGCAGGTTTATAGGTACTTTCTTCCCTGTCTGTTTTTTTTTTTTTTTTTTTTTTTTTTTTTTCGAGTTAGTTTGACTGTGATATCCTTATCTTCTTCCTTTCTTTGTATCTTCTATGTTTGAAAATTATGTTTAGACATGAATAAAGGAAAAGCTAACAAAACCCCCAGCCACGGCCGAGACCACAAACTTCGCATGTGGAAGATCCGACCACAAGACGAGGCAGTCTTACAGAAAACCCTCCCTGTTGATGTCCAAACCGAAACCCAAGGATGTGACGGGAGTCAGCCATGGATGGTCCATTCGCTACCGGTCAACGCGTTGAATTTCTGTGCGTTTTCGATCTGGTTCATTGATGGTCCTTTTTCTCCGTCGTCATCCTCGGGGAACGTCTCAGACGGGCTTCGTATGCAGACGCATTTAGAAGGACAAACAGGGTCGGGGCCAAAGACAACATCTCCTCTTCCTCCTAGTAGCGAGGAAGCATCCCCTCCTACAGATAAAAGCTTCACTCGTCTCCTAGCGGCCCCAAACGCCCTCGACTCTGGCGCTGTGGATATCTTCCATCTCCCGCTCGAGCGAAGAGTCTGTACGATTCCGCCCCCGGAAGGCATCACGCCCGGGATGGTCATGGCCGTGGAACTATTCATGGATTCCGCGAAAGGCGATGTCTACGTAGCGTCGGGCTATGAGGACGGACATGTGATGGTGTTCCGATGTCGCGGGGTCTTGAAAGACCGAGACACGAGTACAGAGAGTCGGAATCAGCCATGGAATCGAAAATGGGACTGGGAAACGCTATATGTATCGCGCGTTCACACGCAGCCGGCATTGTCGATCGATGTTTCAAAGAATGGGGGATATGTTCTCTCGTCTGGCGCGGATGCGATGCTTGTGAAACATCCTGTTCCGGGATGGGATGTTGTCGGTACCATTGCCGGTGCTGCTGGAGAGCCCTCCGACAAAGCGCTTAAGACGGTGAACACGAAACATGCAGGCCAGCAGGGTCTTCGGATCCGGGATGACGGAAAGATCTTCGCTACGGCGGGGTGGGATTCTAGGGTGCGGGTGTATTCGTACAAGACGATGAAGGAAGTGGCAGTTTTGAAGTGGCATAAGGAGGGATGTTATGCGGTGGCGTTTGCGCATGTCGAGGCTGCTGGCGCTCTGGATCTGTCTGGAGAGCAGATGTCAGAATCGGAGGCAGGAATGCAGATACAGAGTGACGACAAGGCTCCCGCAGGAGAACTGACAAAACGCACAGAATTCTCCCTTGCGACAGTCCAGCAGCAAAGGAACCAGAAAGTACAGAAAACACACTGGTTAGCGGCCGGGTCTAAAGATGGCAAGATCTCATTATGGGACATCTATTGAAAGAGAGAGAAAGAAAAGAAATGCTTTTTGGGGAGGCGTCGTCAAATGCTATAACCTATGTACATGTACAAGTCAGAACTAATAATTCAACCCAACCCGCTCAACCAACCACTTGGATCGATCAAGCCAGGTTGAATTCATTAGCACCCGCCATCTGCTCCTTCACCTTGGCTCTCATGATGCGCGCCGCACTGAACGTATCCTGAGAACGAGCGACATCGTCATCATCCCGGCCACCGCCAGCACCAGCCTTCCTCTTCTTCCCAGCGGAGCCAGTCTTCCGCTCCGCCTTGAAATCCTTCTTCGTGTCCTCCTGTCCCGGCCGCAGACCTGGCACATTGATTTTGCTGGGTCGATCCCGCAACGCAAACGCCTTGGCCAAATGACCCAGATGCAGCTCCTTGATGTTGAACATGTTCCGCTCGTTGGCGATATGGGTCGCATACGCGCGAATGTGCGATTGATACGCCCGACGCGCCATCTCCAGATACTCCGGGTTATCGACAGCCCAACGCTCAATGTCAATCTGGAAGTCGGTGGCCTTTTCCTCCCAGTTCTTGCCCTCGGATTGGATATTGCCGCTGAATCCGCGCTTGATGATATCCTCGGCCGTGGTGCGGGTCAGCGCCTTGCCGCCGTCGCGGTATCCGCGCTTCAGCACCTCCACGTAGTTCTCCTCGCAGCCGGGCATCAGGAAGACTAGGGCGCGGCCGTCGCGGCCGAGACGCGCTGTTCGTCCGATTCGGTGCGTGTGGTCGTCGGCGCTGAAGGCCGGGTCGTATTCCACGACGAGGTCGACGTTGGGGAGATCCAGACCTCGCGAGGCGACGTCGGTACAGATCAGGACGGAGGGCTCGCGGCTGCGCGCGAACGAGGTGAGGGTGGAGGTTCGGACGTGCTGGGGCAGAGAACCGTGCAGCTTGTGTAGAGTGACGGGGTTGGATTTGGTCGAGAAGGCAGTGGCGGGGGCGATCGTGCCGTGGGGGGAGAGTTTCTCTTTGGTGGTCTCTTCGTCGTCTTTGTCTTCGTCTTTGTCTTCATCGTCCTCCTCACTGGATTCACTTTCTTGTTTGGCGTCTTTCCGAGAGTAGTGATTCCGTGTAAATAGCTCGAAATGGAAATCCACCGAATCCGCGCAGGTTACAAACACAATAGCCTTCATGACCGAGCCCTTTCGCATGAACGTGCGTTTCAAGAAAGCCGTCAGTGTAACCAGTCTCAGCTTGGCCGGGGTAATCGCGTATGATTGCTTCAGCTGCGCGGGCACCCGGAAGGCATCGTCCTTGTCATCTTTCTTGACGTCTCCGTCGTCGGCGGGATCCGCCTTGACGTGAATCGCATCCTTCAGACTAATCTCACCCAGCTTCTGCACGTTCATCTTGAGCGTCGCCGAGCAAAGAATCGTCGTTCGTTTCGTCGGAACTCCGGGAATGCGACTGGGCCGTTGTCGCGCGTCCAGTTTCTGGATGATGCCCTGCAGCTCCTGCTCGAAGCCCAGCTCCATCAACCGGTCTCCCTCATCGAGCACCAACCACCGCACATTGCTGACATCCAAAACCTGCGTGTTGTCCAAGTGATCCGCCAACCGACCCGGCGTCGCCACCAGGATATTCAACCCTTTCCGCAACCGCGCTTTCTCCGACTTCTTCTTCTCTCCTCCGATAACCGTTCCAGCCACGAGCCAATGCGCGCACCGCAACAGCCCCTCCAACACCACTGAGATCTGCTTACACAGCTCGCGCGTCGGCGCCAGAATGATAGCAAACAGCCCACTGTCGCGATGCACGTTTCCGTCGCCCTCACCCTCCTCCGCCTGGCTTGCGGTCCGCTTCTTCTGGGACTGCGAGAGCGCCATGATCCGCTGCACCAAGGGCAGTAGATACGCCAACGTCTTTCCGGAACCGGTCTCCGCTTGGATGAAAGCATCGCTGTCCTGGTCCTTCAGCAGCTGCGATATCGACGCCTTCTGAATCGCAGTCGGCGCCTTCAATTCCAGCTTCGTGAGCAAATGCGCCGCCAGAGTCGGCGACAGTCCCAGGTTCGTGAAGGTATCGAGTCCATCGATCAGCGGCGCATTCGTCGGCTTGGCGTCCTCAACCTCCTGGTCCTGATTCTCCTCGGCATTCACGTTCTGCGACTCCGGGTTCTTCGAGAATAGCGAGGAAATGAATTCTCGCGGATGCTGATTATGCTGTCCCTTCTGTCCGTGTCTATGTCCATGTCCCTGTGTCGGCTTCCCCGTGTCGGCTTCCCCGTCGGTTCGCTGTCGCTTCTGCGGTCGGGATCCGGGATTCACCTGGATGCGATTGGGATTGTGCACGGGGCGGTCGGTGCCTTGCGCGTTCGAGTCGTCACCATCGCGCGGCTTCTTTGCGCGATGCTGCGCTTTCTTCTTCGCGCTGAGTCGGTCCTTCCAGGTGCCGCCTTTTAGCTTGGGTTCGGGTTTCGAGAAGTCGTTGTCTCCCGGGAGGGAGAAATTGAGGAGGAGGCCGTCGTCGGCCATTTTATTTATTGGGGGGTTTCCTTTCCCGGTGATGGTTTATGAGGTTAAATATGGAAAAGGTATAAAGGGAAGAGGAGAAAGGGGAGGAGAGAGTGGTGTTTGTACTCCGTAGATGTTCGGCGCTGGAGTAACTTTTTTTTTACGGGCCTGGGCCTGAGGCCTCAGGCTGACAAGACGGGAAATTTCTGCCGGCCCGATTTGCTTCCGAGCCCTGCGATCCTGCCCTAATTTCCTTTTTGGTATGTGAACTATACAGGCATGGAATGAGCGGTTTGAACTTGGGTATTATTATGTGTTTGTTTTTGTACACGACCATCAGTCTGGTCCACTAAGCAGAGCGGGGCTTCATGATGAGGTTATCAATCAACCTGACCGGCACCTTCCCATCGCCCAGCCCGCAATCCTCACCCTCCTTCGACGCCTCCAACGGTGCCATCTTGACCGCGCCGCTCAGAATCGCCCCCTTCGCCGGATCCACCACCTCCAGCTCATCCAGACTCTCCGGGTCCGCCAACGAGATATAATCCACCTCGTAGAGGGCCCTCTCCTCCGGCGCCAGAGCCTGCTGCTCCGCCAACGCTTTCCCCGTCACATCATTCGCGGCCTCCAGAATCTCCCCCCTTCCCAGCTTCCCAGACGCATAGGCCTCCTCAGCGGCCCTCAACGCCCGATACAACACCAACCCCACCCCCCTCCTCCTCTCCCCAAGATACACATTCCTCGAACTCATCGCCAGCCCATCCTCCTCCCTCACGGTCTCCCCAATGCGAATCTCCGTATCGACATGAAAATCCTTCACCATACGCTTAATCACCACCGTCTGCTGCACATCCTTCTGTCCGAAATACGCCCGATCCGCCCCCGCAATATTAAACAACTTCATGCACACCGTCGCCACGCCTCGAAAGAACACCGGCCGGGACGCGCCCTCCAAGCGTCTCGAGATCGGCGTAATCGTCACAAAAGACCCATCGCCGTCGATTTCCGACGAAGGCGGTAAACTCGGATACATGACGTGACTAGTCGGCGCGAGGATCGCCGTCACTCGGCCCCCCTCCGTTTCGCCGTGCTGTTGGGCCAATTCGGCGTTTAGGGCTTGGAGCTTCGCGACGTCGCTGTCCCAGGTGCGCGGGTAGCTGGATAGATCCTCGGAGACGCCGAATTGCGTCGGGTTCACGTAGATGCTGACGAGGATGTCGGTGTTCTCGGCAGCGGCTTGGCGCATGAGCGAGAGGTGGCCTTCGTGTAGGGCGCCCATGGTGGGCACGAAGCCGAGAGATTTGTTGGAGAGGAGGAGTTGGCGGCGCCATTGGCGGAGGGGCGATGGGTCGCGGAAGACTTGGATCGAGGGGGAGGTGGACGAGGAGGAGGCGATCGTGGAGGCCATGGTGGGTGGTTTTGTGGTGAGGCGCGAGGCGGTAGCTTTGAGGGGTAATTGTTAGATTTGATGGATTGAATTGGAATTTCAATGGAGGGGGGTGGACGGGGTGAGTGGAAGGAGATGGATCAGATGGTGTTGGTGGTGTGAGTGGAATTGAATTGGGGTCATACTCGAAAAGGCCCTCGTCCAGCGAAACATGGTGATGTTTATAGAGAGAAAAGGAGGGTCGAAACTCTCCGTGGAAACTCCCAACGGTTTGCGTTTGCTGTTTGCTGTTTGCACGGGACTTTGCCCGCAGAGCAAACAGCGCCGCTTTGGGCCGGAAATATCGATCAGCTGATAAGGTCACGTGGTGATAGGCTGACATATTGTATGGCATGTTTTGCTGTGTAATTTTGCCTGTCGTTTACATCTCGTCGTTGCATAGATAGATACACTTTCTTCTTAGCCACATTTTCTGCAGGACGGCTAAATAATTCATTCTTTTCTTTGCTTGATGCAGTTTATATACTTGATTCAGAAGGTATATGCACTCTATCTCTATAAAGCAAGTTGGGTTCTTGCTTGGCGAATATTTATATCACATGAAGAAGGGCTAACGAAACCCCATGACCGCGAACCCAACCACCTTTTGGAATAAAGAGTCGTATCTGTGATTGGCCCCTGAATGAGAGGGAGTAGGGGTCACTCCATTCAATGAGTTACTGCTTAGCAAGCTTGGCAGAGAGCTTGATGGTGTCGTCGATGTCGTCGACGCCGCCCCTGACGACGATGGGCTGTAGGTAATCTTTGTAGATCCCGCGGGCGACAAAGACCCAGATGCAGAGTTTGACAACCCCGCGGAGCTTGTAGTCACCGTTTCAGTTTCAGATTCAGCCGTAGACTGAGCCCCTGAGGTCGAGCTGCCAGTGATATCAGTACTGCTCGGTGCGGTCGTAGATGAAGAGAGGCCTAGGCCATCATCCAAGACATAGAGAGACCAAGCCTTATAACCGCCACCTATTCAACTATCAGCCGGAAGATCTAATATTATACTGCCCTTTTTACTCCATCCAGAGCAGTCCATCTCAATATTCCAGAGTGTGAACTTATGAACTTACAGATATCTTTCGGCCATCCCGAACATGGAGTATCACAGTTATCCAAGGGAATCTCGTACTTTTCGAGTGGTTTCTCGCTGCCGCAGAGACATTCTACTCCTCGAAGAGCCGCGTAGTTGAGTCCCCGTTTTCCGCATTCTCTCATACAGAGAGCAGACGTCTGGTAGGTAAATGTGTTTTCATGGCGCATGTCATCTCCTAGGCGCCGGTAGCAGGCTTGTTGGCTTTCGAGAGCCAGAGCTGAGCTGGCTAAGATGAGGGGAATTGCTGCTACGTGCAGCTTCATGTTGGCTTTTGGTTTTTGATATCTGGTAGACATTTAATATTTTGTTTTGTGTTGAGGCAATTGGAAGATACATGGTGAAGGAGAGTTGTTTAGTATAGAAGATATAATGTATAAAAGTATAGAGACTAACCTGTGGATGATATCAATTACCAGAACCTGAAGGTGGCAGCAGAATCTCGGCCCCCAAGGCGAGGAAGGAAAAAGGACGATGCAACTTTAATGCCGATTTCCCCATTGGGCATGGTCGATACTGCAGATACCAAGACAGGTAAAATACCGGATCCCATACCAGGGCCGATCCACGTGACTGCAGCCGAGGCTCCGTCCGGGGAAAAAGCCGGGGATGATCGTACGTTTTGTTGGGAACGTTGATCGCCCATGTTTCCCCTCAGTTGACTACGACCTGCATTCTACTCCCTACCCCCTACCGACTGAATCCTCTCGTCTCAGCCCCCATCAATGGCCCTCGATTATCTCCCCGTCTGCCCTGACTGACGACCACCTTCCTCCTACTTCCACGCTTCCTACTCAACTCCACCCCGTTTGTTTGCCGCCACCCAGCATACCACGATGCCGTCGGAAAAGCCCCCGGTCGAACAGTCGGCCCCGGACCTCGAGATCGTCGGCAATAAGCTCACCATCCATCCGAGCGGATTCACCGGCGGACCGGAGCCCCAAGATGACCAGATCACCGAGCGCAATCTCGTGCACCACATGGCGCGCTTTCGCGAAAACCCGTTCGACTTCCTGCGCGAAGTGAGCCTCTACATGTCCGGGACCGGGTGGCGCGCCTATGACGACGTGGTCGGCCAACCTATCTTCTACAATGGATTTTCGGAACGCATGAAGGCAAACATCCTGGCGAGTCCGATGCTGCGCGGGAAGGTCACGGAATTGGCCGAGGTGCGGCTGGCGGTCGAAGAGAAGGAAGGGCTATTAAAGGTTCGAGAGGGCCCACTGGACAAGCTTAGATTGCAGCGTCGGAACGAACTTGAGAGTAATCTGAAAGAGGTGGTGGATTCGATGCTGGATAATATGATCTGCAAGATGGAGAGCAAGCGGTTCATTCGCGGCGCGTATTATCTGTGTACGCAGCTGCTTACGCGCGCATACCATCAAGGTCGGTGTTGCCTGGAGCTGTAAGTGATCGATTGCTGACTTGATGGTGATAGGAATCCATGTGTCGAGTGAGGAAGTCCTGCGGTTAAGATCAGTCGCCGAAGAGGCCGCCAGGAAGAAGCAATCCATTGTCTTTTTACCGTGCCACAAGTCCCACGTGGACTACGTTTCTCTCCAGCTTATTTGCTATCGTCTGGGAATTGGTCTGCCCGTGGTTGTGGCCGGTGACAACCTCAATATTCCCATGTTGGGGCCATTTTTGCAGCACGCAGGTATGGTTGACTGCGGGGATAGAGTGCACTCTTGCTAACTAGTCCAGGGGCCATGTGGATTCGGAGAAGTTTCGGAAACGATCCGTTGTATCATACTGTCGTGCAGGCGTATATCGACACGCTTCTGCAGGAAGGGTTCAATTTCGAGTGTTTCATCGAGGGTGGAAGATCTAGAACTGGAAAGCTGTTGTCCCCGAAGTTTGGAATCCTCAGTTTTATCTTAGACAGCGTTATTTCTGGGCGTGTAGACGACACGATCATTTGTCCTGTCAGTACGCAGTACGACAAGGTCATTGAGACTGAGTATGGCACTACTTCTTCGTGTATCTTGCTTGATACTAACATCTTCTAGGTCATATATCAGTGAACTACTCGGTCAGCCGAAACCCAAAGAGAATCTTGCTGATTTCCTCTCCGCATCCTCGGTCCTATCGCTGCAACTAGGACGGGTGGATATCCGGTTCCACGAGCCGTGGAGTCTCAAAGAATTCATTGGCCAGCAATTAACTCGGTTACCGGACCAGATCGACCCCAACGGGGGCTCTCAGTTAAACCAAAAGGAACGGGGCCGGATACTTCGTACCTTGGGTTACCGCGTGCTCTCCGATATCAATGATGTGTCTGTCATGATGCCCACTGCCCTGGTGGGAACTGTCCTGTTGACGCTTCGCGGTCGTGGAGTCGGCAAGGGAGAACTGGTGCGACGAGTCGAATGGCTCTGCGAGCGGGTTCGTGCGAAAGGAGGCCGAGTGGCGCATTTCTACCGATATCCGACGGAAGTGGTTGTTGACCGCGCAATCGAAGTATTGGGACATCAGATCGTAGGTGAAATCGATGGCCTGGTGGAACCCACCTACTATGCTGTCGACCGCTTCCAACTTTCCTTCTACCGCAATATGACCATCCACCTGTTCATCACCGAAGCATTGGTCTCCGCAGCCATGTACACCCGGATCAAGCAGGGCGGTGGTCCTTCCTTCCAACGCATTACCTATTCGGATCTTTTAAGCCAAGTGTCCTTCTTGTCCCAGGTACGTGCGATGACCCAAACATCTAAACCCTGCTAACATCTGCCAGCTCTTCCGCGGCGAATTCATCTTCCCTCCGGAAGGTTTGACCACCAACCTAGAACGAACAATCCAAGGACTCGAAAAAGACGACGTCATCACCGTCACCCGCGAACCCTCAGGAACGCCTCTCTACGTCGAGCTGAGCGAATCCGAACGCAAATGCGGAAGAGAGAACTACGACTTCTACTGCTTTCTCATCTGGCCCTTCATCGAAGCCTCCTGGCTCGGCACCGTATCTCTCCTAGGACTCACCCCTCCTCTCGACGGACCGAAAGAAGTCTGGATTGATCTGAAAAAAGCACAAGATAACGCCCAACTTGTGTGTCCCCTCCCTTCCTCCTTACTACCTACCCCCTTAAATAACATTTCCAAACTAACAACCTACCAGCTCGGCAAAACCCTCTACCACCAAGGCGATCTCTCCTACTTCGAAGCCGTCAACAAAGAAACCCTCAAGAACTCCTACCAGCGCTTCGCCGAAGAAGGCATCATCCACATCGTCCGGGGCAAAGAGTCCCGCGCCGCCCCCGTCATGCGCATCGCACCGGAATGGACCCCCGAGCGAGACCCCGCCACGGGGAAGCTCCTGGCCCGAGGCCGTCTATGGGACTTTACAGAATTGATCGCTCAATCTAGACGTGAAGGGTGAGTTAATCTTCTTTCTCTTTCCCCCTCTTTCTTTTTTCCCTTTACCTTCTCCATTCCCATTTCTTTTACCATCGACTCCTTTTCCTATTCAACCCGAACAAAAAAAAAAGATTAATAAAGCAAAATGATACTAAAACACACCCAACAGGAAAAACCGCCGCGACGGCGCAACCGTATCCTCTCGCGTACTCCTCCTTTCTGACGCCGTCGGCCGCATCCTGTTTCAGAGCGCGGCGAGCCCGAACCCAGAAGATAGCGTGGATGTGTCGTCACGACAGAAGCGGAGAAATGATATTACGACGAGGTCGGGGTCGAAGTTGTAATACCACCTACCTACACGCATACATACATACATAAACGTGTGCATTGCGAGACATATTGCCTTGCCTTGCCTTGACTTGTGTGTCTATGATAGGTATGGTAAATTCTAAATATACCATACTATCTGCGTGGAGGATGCTTATTTTGTATTTTTCTATTGTGGTCCTTGTGTATACCCTACTTTTGTTCGTACTGCTAATTTTATTACTTTCAGACATGCATGCATACAGCATACATAACTACACACATACATACATACCCCTTTCGCTTCTTATTACTGTAAACTAGTTATATCATTGTTACATACTACATACCTATCATGAGGATGTGTTCACATACATACACAGATAGATAATACAATAAACATTGTTAGTTTATTACGCTGTTCCTTCCGTCTTGATTTCCCTTTCTTGAACCCTAAGCCCTACGCTTTACGCTTTACGCAAAGATACAATTTTATTGAATTGAATTCAATGTTCATATTTAATTTCATCTCTTCCTTCCTTCCAAAGTATACCTGAGTTCGATTCATCCAATCCGGAAAACCACCAGGCTACCTACCAAGAGAAGGTTCAAATTTGAGACACACAACACAGAAAGAAGTAAGTCTATGATACATACTACATCATTAAACGTATATATCTTGAAAGCAGGGGAAAGGGGGTAACAATTGACTCCTGGGAAATCAAATAATTGGATGTCAATGTTGGGGGGGAAAGAGGTAAAGGGGTAAAGAGGCAATGATGAGACGAGTCAGTCCATGGAACTCCAGAGTAACATGCGACTCATCAGTATTCAATCAAACAATGAAGGGTAATGATCGAGACAACTGGAAGCTTTAAGATAGCCACGTGTCTGACGTCAACAGTTCCTCGCCTCGCCAGGAAAAAAAATCGAATAACTCCTCGTGAATATGCATGGGGAAAGGAAACGAAAAAGGAAAAGGTCATTATATCAAAGGCATTAATCTTGCGTCAAAGGGGTCGTAATTGGCGATCGAAGCGGGTGAGATCGAGAAGGACTGCCGGTTCGTGAACGGCGGCCGTTCGTCGTAGGTCCCAATGCTATCGGAGCCAGATGATCCCGACTCTCTGTCCTCACGACCAAACCCGCTCGATCCATTGCAGACCCCGCTGTAATCCCGAGACCGATGGTCCCCGTGGATGAGTTGTCCAGGCCGAACTTCAAACTGGGCGTGCTGCTGCCCCAACTGGCGGCTCGCTTTGGTGGCATGAAACCGGAACCGGCATCAGAGGAACGGCTGTCGTCCAAGGAGCTTCGGCCAGAGTGGGTGGCGCCCAGATCGAATTCGTGGGCCCCGTCTTCGAGGACACGCTCGTATGAAGGACTTCGCGTACCGCCGAAGAAAGGTAGCTTGCCACCGAAAAACTTGCGCTTTTTAGGATGGTTCGGATGGGATGGACCGCGACGGTGGAGGCAAGTGTTGATCTTGTGGTAGACTCGTAGGCGGCGGCTCCGCCCACAGAGGAAGAATAACGCCATAACGATGATAAGCAAAAATAGAATAAAGCCTGGAGCCCTGCGAGAAGAGGCTTCTTCGAACAAGGCATCATGCCACGAGGTGTTGTGAGGGCCCTGGGGCGTAGGCATCAACTCAGCACTCGGGTACTGGAAATCGTTGGGAACACCGGCAACATTGCTTCCGAATCCAACCGGCAGGAATTCTTCCGTCTCCACAGGTACCTGTGACGATGCGTACAGAACCATCTTGCCCAAAGTCCAACTAACTTCGGTCGAGTCGATCTTATTCACTGCCTGGAAAGGGTCAAGATAGCCTTTGTCTTGGCCTTTTTGAATGACTTCTTCCGTTCCGTTGTGACCAGATCCTGTTGTATCCTCGATTCCCACGCGAGGGATTCCAATCCCATCGTGCAGCACGTTGATGATCCATGACGCCTTGAAGCAAAGTTCATGAGCCTTGTCGATATCCAGCTTCTTTCCCCACTTATGCTGAATGATGCCGTCCTCAATAGTGCTCCAATCTTGCGAGCAAAATGCCAGGACACGGTCTTGGTAGGTGTTAAAGTCGTACGTTTTGTCCTTGTGTCCCATTTCAAAGATGTCGTGCGTTGTATGCCAGTATTCGCTGATGCCGATGAAATGATTCACGTCAAAGTCAATGGCTGGAACATGCACTCCGTGAAGGAGACAAGGGGCATCAGGACACGGGGCATCCTTGTCTAGCAACGGGAAAGTCTGTCGAAGACATTCGTCAAACTTTCCGGTTCCTAGAAGATACCGGTCCGTCGCCTTCGCTTCCTCTGTCGAAATCGTCTGTCCTTCAAGAGTGGTTCGCAGTCCGGCTGGCAGACATGGGTCGGGGAGCTCCTTGATAGTATCGACTGCGCTAGCTGCCTGAAGTGACTCTAGATACCGTCGGCGAGCCTCCCGTACTCCAAACTCAAGCCAAGACGTGACGAAAACCCGGTGCTCTTGGCCCGATCCGTCGACATTGCGCAAACGCAGCAGCGTCAGGTCGTTCGCATGCTTCTTGCTCTCGGTGGCGTTGGGCGCAAAGGCAATCTGCGCCGATGCACCTCCCATGTCCAGAAAACCGTAGGTGTGATGATCCTTTCCATGATCATGCTTTTCAGGGGCATCGAAACTTCCTAGCAAATAGTTGGATGCCACCCATCCGTATAGACCTTCCGTCACCCCGGGAATCACTTGGATATGAACGTCGCAGTCGGGGAGCATGAAGTCGGAGTTGGCGCGGGCGAATGAGCAGATCTGATCCAATAGAAGGTTTCGTTTTACGTCAGGGAGAAGTCGCATGCCCGCGGTGGCGAGAAGGAAGATGGGCGTTTCCTTGATAGCATCTTCCGGCACAATCTGGCTGGCGTGTTCCAAAAGTTCCGCAAGGTGTTCCGGTCCAACTTCTTCGGGTCGATCAGCGAAGGACGATACTCCTGGTGACCACTGTGTTAGAAAACCGGCGCATTCCTGTCTCTCCCCTTTATAATGTGTCCAATCTTACCAGGTCGAATTTTCTTGGTCCAGTCGGATTTGGTTTTGATTTCCGGCAGGGACTTGAGATCTTTCGCATCGGACCCTTTTCGCGCAACGGTGTTGTTCAACCAGCGATAAACATGTACTCGAGTCCCCTGTCGCAAGAGGTTAGAAGACGACCGACAGACTGACTTTTGTCTTACTTACAGACGATCCTGCGTCCAGGACAACTCCATAATGCCCTATGGAAGAGAAGTCAGCATTGACTAGGCTGAGCGCAAAAGGGGGAGGTCGGGTTACATTTGCCCATTGGGAAGGATATTAAAGATTATAATTATTGTATTTGACCGATAAGCATGACCACCACCGGACAGACGAGTTGAGCGAGCGGCAGGAGAGCGATCGGATTTATCAATTGCCAGTCTCGAGATCGGAATCGGTTCTGAGCGGAGAGGTTGGATCCAAACGAATGGCCTTGCTCAAGGGAGCAAGATAAGACGCAGCAGGGAGAAGGGGAGGGAAGCCAAAGCACGATGAGGACCCTTTTACAGTCAGCAACGACAGTAGGTACCTCGCTGTACGGGGCGGGAGGACGAGAAGGAAAATGCGGAGGCGGAGGGGAGGAGGGAGAGAGAGAGGGAAAGTGACAGTTGAATAAAGATAAGACGAGAAAACGGACGGCAGCGGATGGCGACAGCAATGGACGCGACAGCGGGGAGCCTAAGGCATGGATTATGCCGCATGCGGTAAAGCGCGCAACCAACGGCAGGGTCTGGTTTTATCCTGCTTACGGACCCTTTACATGGTTAAATTACCGGAGATGATATGGTGACATTGCCCTTGGCGTGGACACACTGCCAGGGGGGAGGCTGTTGGACCCGAGAAAATCGATAGGAATGAAATGTCTATCTGATGGCTTGACTGACTCTAGTTGTTCCAAGTCGAAATCGAGTTCACACAGGGATTGCTACCCTGCCATCACATCTTGTCGGTCGGACCTTTGTACACTACTAAAGTAAGTACAAGGAAATGATACCAGGCCGTGACAGTACCGGCCTAGCACGAAGCGGGCCTAGTTACACCCGGGGCGGGACCTCTTAACAGGATCTAGATAACTCGGGGTAACATTGGCAATATCGACGCCCTTCTTCAATCCACTTTCATTAAACTGATTGAACTCGGCGTTGTACCCCCTCAGGGAGTCTAGAACAGTAGAACTAGAATTCTCCCTGAATCTGGAGAGACCCAAAGCCCCTTAAACACCTAGTGGTCAATAGTTAGGGGGTTTTTTTTTTTTTCCCTATCCGAATTCAGTCGACGGTCCAGCCCGTGTCAGTCGCACCATCTGCCATCGACCTCGCGATCGGCATTCCGACCATTTAATCCTTTGCCCTACGAGTGAGCAAGTGCAAGTGGGCAGGTGGTGTCCCTCTTGAAGGTTGAAGTACCGCAGCGATCAGAAGACAGCCGATGTCTTAAACTTGGAATAATAATAGAATCGGAAGGGAGTTTGATAGGGCCGCGATAAGAACGCCGCCACCAGAAAAACCATCCGGGAGAGAAAAGGGAAAAGTAACTAAAAAAAAAAAAAGCAAAAAGTCAAAATGGGGGGCACACCCTTGTCGCATTGACGTAAGCTTCGGGTCCTCCAGAGTCCAGAGCCCATGCAAGTTGGGTCCGTCCCGCCGTTTGATTGGCGCACTTGGCAAGCCAAACCAGATTGGCAACTGCAGCTAATGAAATTAAATAAAAGAAAGAATTCTAATAAATTTCATGCGCTGCCGTGCAACCAAAACAAACCCAGCCAAGCTTGGTGCATTCGTCACCCCCCCCCCTTTAGCCGGGGACTTGTCATGCAGGTCGATTGGCAGCTGTTCACTGCTGTTGGTCGCTAAACCACCGGCCTTGGCCGACCATGACGCCATCCACCGCATTTAAACTTGTCTGTAGCTTTGTTCTCTCTTCGGTACCAAGTCGCAGAAGATGAGATCGTGGTATCCTTATATCTCCAATTACTATAGGCGAGGGTAGC